TTTTTGCTGTTATCACAAAACGCGCGTGTCTCGAAAAAAATTTGAAATTACTATCCTATCTACAATTAACAAGGGAATGAGGCTCGTCCTCGGGGTCGTTTAGGATAATATGACTTTCAACATTCATGACAATGTAGGGAATATAATAAATGTTGACTTGGCATACCTCAGTGCCTTTATCTTTTTTTTTGTCCACGGGGTGGATCTCCGTTGTTGTGTTTCCACTAAAAAACCACCCCGACGGGCGGACTCAGACGACCTACTCTGAGGAGGACCCGGACCAGGTTATTCCAGGCCCCCGGATCGACGCCGCGCCTACTATCAATCAGCCCAATCATTATATATTGCGGCCCGATCGCATTTTTACTTTCTGAGGGCTGGTATCACCGCCGACGTCCTCTGCCATCGGGATCTGCCCTCTTCCGATCCCGTTCAGCGATCTCTTTCTAGAGCATAAATAAATAAAAATAATAAACCTCACAAGTCTCACACACGGCAGTCTGAACCCAAACGAGGCAGAGACTGTACTATGATAACCAGACTGCTGATAAACATACTTATATATTTCTAAATACATATTATTACACAAAACATTACTATACCCAGACACAGAACAAACAATCGTGCTCATCACACAAATATTTGTCCTGGGTGGGAATCGAACCCACGACCTCCGCTTAGCAGTCAGGGTCACTAACCACTAGTAACATAACTATAATCCAGTACGGGGTAAACTATCATTATAAATTTTCTCCGGAAAAGGGAGATTTTATCAACTACTCAATGTCATTCGCACTAAAAATCCTTGTCGCACTCCAACGTTTTTAATGTTTATTTTTTCATGTCTTGTCTTATCTCGAATCATGCTCCTATATTGTTCTTCCTCGCTGTTTCATATACAGTTTTTAAAAATATCCTCATTCTAAGGTATCATTATTTTAACCATTAGTTGAAGTCGTTACAGACGTCCGGGGCGTGGAGGGAGACAGATTGAAATAAATAGTTTCTTCTATTAAATGCGTCGAGACGGAAGGGAAACAAGTCGTAAAAGAAATGTTATTTTGCAAAAAATGTTATAAATAGCCTGTCATGTGATGAAGTAGTTTTCATTACATGAAGTATCTATTTTAGCAATTTTAATATACAACTGTAATGACCGTACATGGCAATCGATTTACCTGCTATTTTTACCTTTTCGTAATACAACAGCATGTATATAATTGTTTTATACTTTTTTTGTAGAAAATATGTAGTTAAGTTTAAAACAAAGTAATTGTTGAAGTTTTATGACTAGTCATAATAATATACACTAGTGTTAGTAAGAGTTACAACTATTGAATACGCGTAATATAGTTTTGTTATAATTTGGAATGTGTTTTTTATACATTCTAAATTAAACATTATTAAATTAATTAATTTAATTTATATATGTTTTTTTTTTTAACTTTAAGCTCTCACTTTATGACCGACCAACCGTATGTTGTTGCTCATAGATATATGTATAGCCAAACTTACCACGTTGTAGTGAACGTTTAGCGTTATTGTTTATATAATTATATATAAATTAATTCTAATATGTCTAAATGTGTTTAGACCTAGGACCATTTGGACTCGAAATTGAGTACTTTATTTTAACAAACACGAATTCCAAATACGTACAAATTCGAACACGAAACAAGCATGATTTCGGTCACAACGCCGTATAAGCCCTAACAAAAATAGAGGTAGCTCATACATATAACATTAAACGCCTACCAAAAAGTAGCAATTAGATGGTTTATAACCAATACTACTTAATTTTCTCCACTATGTCTAATCATAAAAAGATCGTTGAAATAGTTTTAACATAATAAATAAAACAGTTCTCATCGTTATCTTCTAAGAAAAGACATTAATAATTTCTTGGTAGTGTAGGACTTCCACTTTCGCTCGACGTTACGGAAGCGATGGAAGATCACAAACCCGCTGCCTATATAATAGAAAGAAATAGCCACGACCGCAACCAGCAACGAATTCCGCAATTCCGCCTGCGGCTGCAGTCTGCAGCTCGTCTCGGTTTTGTACAGTGGTTTCAGCCAATGCAAAAATGAAAGAATAAATGAAAGAAAAAAATTTGAAAAACAATAAATGTATCGTGTCTTATTTCTAGTCTTATTTATCAGAATCCAGAAACTTTCAGTATGCCCTAAATCATGAGCTAAATAAAAAGTATATAATGTATTTAAAGATCAAGCACTCACTTTACCTTCGATGAAGCTTTAATGTTATCAATTACAATTCATTCCTTATTCATAGAATGTGTGATAAAATATCAATAATAGTCCGGTCAATATAGACATTTGAAATAACAAAAATTTCCGGAAAGACAAATATTGGTGGAGAGCTGGGGTTTACCACTACAAAGAAGGTTTTAAAAATCCCCATCGATTCCATATGTGCTACAAAAGTTATTCGGGGTCAAAGGTAAAATTTGAGGTTTTTTGGATTTTTCTCGAAAATAGTAAGTTTTGTCAAAAAAAAAACCTCAAACCAAAGTTATAGACCTTAAAATTTTCTACAAAAATGGTCTTTATGATTTTTTCCCAAGAGTTACCATTCCTGAGATATCGCGATTCTAAGAGTCACATTATACATGATATGCACATATAAGCCACGTATATACATATCAGGCACTTAAGACAAGTATAAATACCTATTTGTGTCTCTTTTATATATGTTATACAATCTTGAAACATTTATTCAAAAGATAGTCAGTCCCTAACTGAATCCCCTCTACCCACGTGGCCTTGCAATACTATTGTCCGTAGGTCTCGTTCATATATCTGTTTCTTTTAGTGCAAAATGTTCAGTTCAAGTGAATATACTACTCGACCAAGCGAACTAGACGACTGTAAAACGTGACGTCATTGACTTCGGGTAGGGATAGCAGAAGAGTCCGAATAATCGATAGGTGTTATTTTTTCCTATATAAAATTACTCAAAGTATTAAGCGCGCGTATTAAGTATTACGCTTTGTTTATTATTAGTTCAACTAATGTTCCAAGTGAGCGCTAATCTTTGTAAGTATTTGGTATAATATAAAGAATTAGAATATTACACTAGAAAACATTGTGAGTGAGTGAGTGTAAAAAAGGCGGGTTGCTGTGTTCTCCAGCGTGTAACTTGACTTGCCAAGTCAGTCTTGCTTAAATGTCCAGTTGATTACAATAGAGGAAGATTCCTCTGATTTTAATAAATAGACCAATGACTCAGCCACATTTGAACAATTTATGAACATCCAGCAAGAGGAAGAGGAAGAAGAAGAAATCGAAGAAGACATGACTATTGAAGTAGACTTTCAAGAGTATGAATCTGTAATCTGGCTGAATAAAAAGGGTTCAAAGCTGCACACTCAGGTTTCGTCACCTGTCACGATATTATAGAGAGCTAATGACTGTCCTCCGTTAAAGCTTTTTATCATTTTACGGCAACACTGGACACGCAGTCGTTTCTAATCCTCCACTAAGTCAAACGGTATCCATCGAGTGCAAAGCTTCCGAACCTTCAGATGCACATGTAAAATGTTTTGCACTTGGCTCATTCCAACAACAAAGCACGAATGTATGCAAGTAATTTTTTTGACAGATTCAACAAGTTGTCGTATGGTGTCAATATTAGTCTGTAATCGCAGTCGCCGGCCGACCTTCACGTACCTCGTCATGGAGATGATCACGTCACCGTCTAAATTCTCCAAACCACAAATACACAGAATGGTGTATGGTGCTTGATCACCTAATGCCAATTGAAGTCTCTGGAAACTCTATTGTTGATACTCTATTGAAAATGTTCACGAGTTAAATTCAGTTTGATAACGACATAAAATTTTCGATAAGACGTCATAATTTAAAAATAAATGACAGTCTCGCAAATTAAAAACTAACATGTTCCCAAAGAGTTCCATTTTCGAATTCCATAATTGTTTTTTCATTCTTTTATTGTAAGTGGCCTGGTCCAGATACTACTTTCAGTATATCCCACGTAATAGCTACTAATGAAAAGCAATGGCCTAACAAAAGAAAGAAATTGACTGAACTATTTACGCATGTATAGATTTCATAAAGTAGGCGTTTCGTTTATTTAAAGTAAGTTTAAAATAAGGTACATTTATATCCCAAGTTATACGATGTATTCCAACTAATTCGAGGAAGTTGGGCCCCAGCCTTGCCTTCCGACATTACTCATCGTTTGCGCTGATGCCGCTCGTCATTGCGGCTCATTCAATTTGTTTATATTTCACGCCACTCCGAGGTGCTCCCACAGATATATTGCCTTTAGAGCTAACACCGAAATATGGGGCCTTGCCGATATTTATGATAGCTTTATCCGAGAGTCTAGAGATACGACTGTCTTCTGTAATGTGCTTTATACGCCCTCTAAGCTATCATTATTATTCTTATTATTTTAAATATATATAGACTTGACTACCTCTGTGTACTACTGATATGAAGAGCTATTAAGATTGTTTATTGCAACGACTTCCATAGGGTGACTTTGCCTTCTTGTTATTCGTTCAATATATCATGAAATTAGGTTTTCACTTTGACTAAAATGTAGGCATGTATATGTTTTACTGTTTTTTTTTTTACTTTAATGATGATAATAAGATAAAATGAATAAAGTATTTCTTAACTTCAAGAACAACCCGTGGGTCTTTAAACTCACAGTTTTATCCGATAGCGGCGAAGCTAAAGGAGGGTTATCTTTCGAACTGTATAATATCCAAAGCCGAAGCCACTTTGTTAGTTCAGTCTGAAATAGAAACTTCCTTAACGGAAGGTTCTATTTCTATTGGTGGAGTCTAGTTCAATTATATCCTAAAAAATAACAAGATTTTTATGATAAAGGGGACGGGACGGGGAGATCAGACGGGACACCTGATGGAATTGACAATTTGTTTCCCTGAGGGTGGTGATTTGTGGATATATATACACATCATTAATTTTTGTTAATTACCTATGCAGAGGCGCTGGGCAGCGTGGGCAGTACGGCGGGTAGCTCTTGGCCGTCTTCGACGCCGGAGCCGTCACCGTCGCCAGCTTCTACGCCAACTTCCGCCGATGCAGCCGATGGTGAAGCTGAACCGCCTTTTACGCTCGGCGCTACTGAGCATACGCCGTATCAATGTCAATTCTGTGACAAAGCGTTCCCTAGGCTCTCTTACCTTAAGAAACATGAACAGGTATTTCATAGCTTCATTAACTTCATACTAGTGTCCAATTTAAAACAGTAACTTTAAGTACCTACCTACAGAAACAATGTGAAACTAGTCAAAAACAAGTTATACCTGAAGGCTAATACCGCACGGACGACGGTCCTAACATTGCCATAAAGTAACACAGTTAACTGCTTCGCAGACAATACGGCTTCTATTGTGGCTCATATCTGTAAATTCACAACCTAGTTTCGCCATGCATGCCCTCGCTTCATTAGCAAGTAGATACCCAAAACAGCCCATTTACAGAGCCGGTGCGTAGATATGCATCGCGCTCGCCTTGCACCGAGCACGGAGCCTCGCACTGAGAGCTGTGACGTGCTCGGCCATTATGCCGGTCGTACATCTCGGCTCCTTTGTGTTGCGCCGATCTCGCCGCGTTACGATTACGACACACGCCGAGACAGATCTAGCTGCGATAGTACAAATAGAAACGTCACTTTGCATGCAGCCGCGAGCTGCTCGCCTACGTACGGATATAGATCGGCACGTACGCATCAAGTGGCAAAAGCGTCACCTCAGTCAAAATTAAAATTAGGGAGGTCCAGCCCACGTACATTTTAGATATATGAAGAGATATCTAGAAAGGATTTTATTAGATTATCGGATTGCAATTGGCGTCGGTGTTGCGGTTGCGCCGATATTGATCAACGCATCGTGCCAGATTGCTGGCGGGTGTGCGGAGTGTGCGAGTGCCGACAAATGTATCGGGAGATGATCGCGTCGTGGAGCTGCGACAGCAGCGCGGTGACGGCCGGAAATAGGCTCGCGATAACAACTCCCTAGCCTAGCTCGCCACACCTTTATCATCGAACCGCTGCTTGGGAAAGGCGATCATTATAAGAATAAATCAATTACTGAGTCCACGTATACCCGCCATTCATTTCGTTCTGGTTGTGCCTCCGGAGAATCGTATAGCAGTAAAACGTCTTGTTCAAAATATTACTTTAAAGCTCAAATAATAAATTAAGTTTGAATGTAATAATTCTTTTTCATCTTGCTTAATTAAGCAGTTTGACATGTATTGTGGTTGATAGAGGTAATCTAAATCGTAAAACTTTCCGAGCTTTCGTATGGACACGGGACTAACGGATATTCCTAAACTTGATTTGAGAAAGACAAATATTGTAATAAAAGCCAGTCGTTTTACAGGGCTGTCATTATAAAATATGTACATAAACTATCCAAATCCAAAAATCCCTGCCAAGTTATTTAATAACAAATATGTGCGCTGTGATGAAAATGATTAAATAATTATCACTCATTAGATCACATCTGATTTACAAAAACATAGCTTTTTATTACTATACTTTATTTTACACTCGATTACTTAAATCCAAATATTTTTTGTACTTACTGTTAATTGAGTTAAAAAAAAATCTTTGGTTTAGGCATATTGTGCCTACGTAGGTAGGGCCACTCTCTCTCTGCATCAGTAAACCTTAGTTTCCGGCTAGTAAGTACTTAGCATCACTGTTTCATCATTCGTCATCGTTTTTTTGTGGCAGTCTGGATTTAGTTATGGTGTTCTAACTATAGTTGTTTCATTTTCTAAAAACATGTTCAACATATCCCAACCATTTGATTAAGGTTAATTTAGCAAACTTTTTAATGTAACGGAGGCCTTAGATATCCCAACATCATCACACTAATAATCACTTTAACAAAACATATTATGCGTAAGTCAGTTTAATGTAGAAAAAAAGTTAACGCATGCCAAGAGATTCACATCTTTATTAACAGTTGGTACGAGCACCAACCATGTAGAGCTACTGTTTCGGAGAACTCGTGAATCACGAGAATATTAAGATTTTTTATCACAAAGTAAAACATTTTTCTGCATACGCATAAATATGCACTCATAGTGAAGAAGCAAATGCCCGTTTATTCTAATCGTGTTGTTTTAGCGCCTACTCAGTGCTTTTTAAACAAAAAATGAAAAATGCCCATGGTATTAACTCCGCCTTATGCAATGTATTTGAAGTATTAAATAAATTAATTAATATCTTGATAAAGTTGATCACGTAGGTGCTTAATGAATTAAAGTGATACTTATGTTGTGTTTGACGAATGTCTGTGTCAGAATACTCAGAGTAAAACCGCTTGGCAGTTGACCTCGAGGATTTTCGGTGTCAGGGCATGAGAACAGGCAATATTTCACTGTTATTTCACCCGAGAAAGTCGCTCAGTAGAGTCAGTAGCCGCCCGCTGCCTATTCTCGGGCTTTTATTAGCTATCACGTTCACCTCAAACTAGTTTAAAATATTCGTGATGTGCTTTATTCAGAAAGCCTACTACCATTAGGAATATAATGTCGGCCGGTCGGTCTCACGGTATTTAATAACATTCTGTATAACGAGATACATACCATTTGCGTGTCTTTTTACCATAAGAACTTGGTAGTGTCGTGGTGAAAGCAGCATGCGGCGAATCAGCAGGTCTCGCCGGAGCACCCACCGGCCGGGCTCCCGCAGTGAGAGGTCGGTGATTCGCTTATTGAGTTCTCACACGAAACATTACTGATACCAATACTAATTTTCTTAAAAAGTACCAATACTAAGTTAGGAATAGTATAAACATTTAAACACTGTTACAAATACCTACATAAATTAACAACACCGTTAATAAACGTAATACAAAAAGACAAAAAGTAAAGGATTAATAGATTGTCAATCTCGCTATCGTCTAATTGGCCAAAGCAGGGGGTAGCTTCAGCTAAGTGAGTGCGTGGGCTTGTGCGCTGGTTGAAGCGGGGCGCGATTTATCGCGCACGGACGATCAAATTTATTAATTCTGTCAGAGGCCGATTGCTCCAATTAAGCGAGTGGAGTAAACATGCCGCTGTTGTGTTTATGTGTTGCCGTATCGAGTACCATACGTTTGTGTTCGGGAACGGGCGCTTCGTGGTAAAATTCGCACGTCACTGTCCGACCGCTAATCCCAACATGTTAGGTTAATGATGTGTAATAAGTAGTTTAAAATTTTGACATCTTTTTTATCCCTACTATTTTTTAACAGAAATGTAAAGGTACTTACATACATATTTTTACCTACCCTGCAGTCAGATACTAATAACAAGAAGGAATCGAATGAATAAAAATATCACAGTATACGAAAATAGAAAGAAAAGATCCTTATTTTTCATTGTTATTGTTTAGTCTTTCGATCACCCACAAATATTATGAGTATTAAACATATTCAATCGTATAAACTGTAATTTCTATCAATTTAAAGATAAACAGTGGTCATAAAATGATAAATAGTAAAATGACAGTTACTTGTGAGATAGAAGAAAGCGGTGTGTCGGCGGAAGCTTGACCACTTAGCCCAATTACGACGGACTGCAGTTCATAATTGGTTCTTGCATCGGGATACCAGGCACTTATCAATCTGCTAACCCTGCTATAACCAGTAGGTGATCACTTCATTATTTAAATTTTAGCAGCAATCCCTTGCGTTTACATATAAAAAAACACTTAACTTTATATTTTGCACCGTGAAAGAATATATTAGGTTATTAAAATAGACTGGGTAGATAAATGTTTTTAAAAACACCATTAGATATGAATCGATAAATAGTTGCAGGTGTATACATAATAAATAACTAAGTATATAAATTAATTATAATAATATAACTAAGAACCACAGTTCATCAATATTCCGACGCACAAGTCGTCGCCCAAGTTTTAGGATGCGGAAGTAATTCAATAGCGGAACTGCTAATAACTAAATTCAAATTAATAATACCGGATATTTCTGATAAAAATCTGACATAAATTACATTATATTCTTAACAATAACAAGACTAATAGTATTGCCTGATATTTTTTAGTTTAAAGCCTCACTGAAGCAGTTACGCACGCGACCTTGTTTGTGTTTACGAGTCGGGCTAATTTGCTTTCTTTCTAGTCTATCCACATACCTGTTAATATATATAAATGTATGTTAAAATACAACTAATCAATAAATAAACAAACATCAATTTAAATATATGTAAAACACACGCTTAGTTAATGGGTTCTACTCGTATTAGGCCGACTTCAATGAGGGCCCCAATTATAATAAAGGTGTCATATCTTAGGTGCGATATTTGTAGCCTATGAATACTTTATATTTTATCATCCACGCTATATATATTGTTGGTTTTGGTCATTGACAAGAAGTCAAATCCCAGACCCCGAGTTGACCATTTCAATGTTAGATATTTGCTCTTCTTGAATTTGGGTGGATTATAAGGATACACTGTTAGAAGTACACAATGCCCTGTTGCCCTGCAGTGCATCTAATATTACGATATAATCCCTATATTACTAGAAATTAATGTATTGAATAACAAACACAATACAACAAAATGTACCTATACCTAAAATTTACATACCAGCGGTTTTAATTACTATAATTATCATATACCCTGTACCACTCTCACAATTAAGACGAATCTAGTATATCTCGAAACACTAAAAGCCATCAAGCTGTTTAGGCTGCAGAGCGTGCCAAAGAAATATACATACCTACATACACTCGAAAACAGAATCCTCCTTCTTGCGCATCCTATGATACCAAAATACCTACCTAATATTCATAATAACTATAATAAGTAACACTTAGTATATTCAAACCTCCTACGGTACCTATTATCCCATCCTTCGGGATCACTTTTTGAGGTGTAAGATTCTCTATGCATGTGTGTATGTGGATATTATTATATAAATATACAATTTCGTGATGATCGGATAAACGGCTCGGCAGCGCATAATTTACAAGCCACCAAACATTTTTTAGTAAAACATCTTGATATTCTTAAATAAGATGAACCTAACAAAATTCATAATGATGAGAAGACACCTCCCTAATATAACATCATCATAGATTAGCTTTCATGTCATCGATGAGATTGTATCAGTATCAAATAATTAAACAAAATTTTCTTTCTCTTTAGAAACTTAATAACCATTAACATTGTGTAGTAAAGTACGCACGCACACATTGTGAACAATGTTGTTATTATGTCTATGGCCGAATCGTATACTGAGTCCGTGAATAAGTAATTGTTTTCTGACTGTATATTGTTACTAGCTGACCTGCGCAACTTTGTCTGCGTCTAGCAAAGGTAATAATTTTTTTTCCGTTTTTGAAACACTTTTCATTGATGTTTGGCTACTATTGGTTGTAGCACTATGTTATATAGTTTATAGTTTTCCTCATTAAATGGGTTATCTAACATTAAAGATTTTTCAATTCACACCAGTAGTTCCTGAGATTATGTAGCGCGTTCAACCAAACAAACAAATCAGTTTTATAATATGAGCATGGCTAGTATAGATAGAAGTAATGTCCGACCGAAACAGGTTTTTCAGCCGAAACCGAAACTGAACTTTCGACACCTTTGTTTCAGTTTCTAGAGAAACTTAAACTATCATTTTAAAAATTCGATTGTATACTAAAATCTAGTGTATTTTTTACCAATTTATCTACTTATTACATATCACCTAAAATCATTGTAATAGGTAGAAACATGGCATTAATTCTAAGAGAAAATGTATTTAGGCAATTAGATAAAAAAATACTAAGTACTACAAATTCACCTGTCCAAATTAACTAGATAGATACTTCACGGGATAGACGGGCAAGGATGAGGCGAGGTGGTGACGTTTCCTTCTAGTTAGTTAGTTCTAAGGTTAAGCAACCAAAGATCATACGTATAACTTTTTTGAGTGCTTAAAAATGTTAAAATAGCCCCCTATTTTAACATTTTTAAGCACTCAAAAAACTTACTTACAGACAGACTACTTACAGAATGACAGAATACACGGTCACAGAAAACCAGCTCTTTCGTTGTTTTTACCGAGTGAGAGCTTTTTACCGGCGTCCTGATTCTGCGGGGAGGGACTGAAAGGGCAGCAATATACTGGTGACTCTTAAGTTGCAAGTGTCCATGGGCGGCGGTAGTCACTTACCATTATTCGACCCATCTACTCTTTTGCCCGAAACAGCATAAAAACAAGATCGCACTGCATGACGATCTGAGCCAGAGACGGTGTCCACGAGTTAGACGCGAAGTTAACCGAAGGCGCACGACACTTTACGAAAATTCAGTTTCGGTGTAATTTCGGACGGCCGTAAATTTCGGTCAATTTTAGCCGAAACTGAATCCCAAATTATATTTCATGGCTGAAACTGGGTGAAACTGAAACCGATACCAAACCTTCGATCGGTCATTAGACAGAAGTAATAATATATATGAGTCAGAAATATGCTGTTATTTCTGGAGTTTCCTAAATATACGTCTTTCTTTTCTTCTTCGGTTCTTTTCATGTCCAATATCTCACCGGTTTTACGTTCAAGAAGACAAGACATTTTATTTGTGAAATTAAGCTTATTTATTTTACTTGTTGTGATTCAGTACATCAGTAGCTAAATTTTAAATATGTAAAATAGCATTAAGTTTTAAAATTCTAATTTATTGTTATGTTTGTTTAGCCCAAAAATACTTAACATGTTACCTGTAGTCGAATAGAATCGAGTCAATCATTCTTAACATTTGTTTAGTCGTAATGAATGAACGTCGCGGAGGTGTTCAATTAGTAAAAGCGTGAACAGGCTGTCAGTTTGGGAGCCTTTTATGCAATGGCCCAGCTCCAGTTCACGGTGGTGCGAAGGCCAACTACGCGGACAGTTCTTATTATCTCCCTGCCCGAGGCTATTCATGTGCGCCACATTAGCATCCTCATTATGTTTTAGCTCATGAATAATCTATTGAGCGAACCCAATAATAGTTACTTTTTACAACTAACGTATTTCGTCACGTTAACTCGAGATATCTTTGAACTGTCTAATGTGTAGATAGTCTATTAACTTTAAGTTTTTGAAAAAGACCATGTTGTTACTAGTTTAAAATATTCATTTAATCACAACACGAATTTCTAACATTGTTATGAATGTTTTTTCAGCAAATTCATATCGATACCTATGAGCTCAAATTTGATTTTGTGTGCTGTATGTCGGAAAACATAAATACGTACCCACTTAGTACAGAAACTTTCAGAAGACAGATATAACAAATAAAACATAAAAAATCAACCTCCTGGTGTGTTCTTATTGTATTCTATTGGACTTTATTTTTAATATGTTGTTAACTTTCATTTTGCCAAAGATTTGTTTGCTGAACACATTACTCATATTACTCAATTTGATTTTAATTTTCTTTAAAGTCTTCTTCATGTAATTCGAAATACGTGAGTAAACTTTTATCACCTACCTACCATGCAATTAGTCCCTTGCAAGGTGTATGATGTTAAAGCACTTGTGTAATTTGCAAACGCCGATGGTTTAACATTGTAATATTAATAAGCTATCTAGTAGCCTTACTATTAAGTTTATTTCATCCACCGTTACAATAAGTAACTGAGAACTTGTTGTTCAGAGTTATGGCGTTCCGGTGAACATTACCGATCAAATCCATCTCATTGTGATAACCTCGATGCTGCTGCCTAGGAATCTTATCGGTTGATCGTATCTATTCGTTATAATATTGCATTGGATTTACTGCGTAATAAATAAATACCTAGGGTTCCAAAATTGATTTGAAAAGGATAATGTTTAGCAAAGTCAAGCTGAAAAAGCTCAATTAAAGCCCGCTTATACGGTTACGCCTCGATATACTTAGATCAAAATAAATGATACGTAGATAATTAATTGAACAGTTATTAGATAAAAATCTATCTGCGTGATGAAGCAGCAGTTTCCAATGGTTAATATCTCACTTCGACGTCACGACGAGCTTACGGCCAGGGTCCTTCGTGTTTTTTACTCTCTATTGACACAGAATACCGGCAGATTGTAAGTTGGCCAGCTCACGCAGACGCAGCGGTAGTCGGTCCATTGTTCGCAGACAGTTCTCACGATGGTTTTTGTGATCAACGCACCCGGAGTTATTTCGATTCACTCATTGTACGCATTAAATATGGACATATTTTAATCTTTTCTTCAATAATTGATTTGTTAGGCTTGGTGCACATTATACAAGTATATTCTAAACTGTAGAAATAGATGAAGTGGTAACAATTTATGCGATTAATATTACGACGAGCGTGTTATTCGATGGTCTCAAATGAATATGTCTGGTCATGTTGATGTGACTTTAAACTTGTTTCAGACACATTCTGACCAGATGCCGTTTCGTTGCGAGTTTTGCTCACGACTTTTCAAGCATAAACGTTCCCGAGATCGCCACGTGAAGTTACACACCGGCGATCGCAAATACCGATGCGCGCATTGCGAATCAGCGTTCTCCAGGAGGTAAGACGAATACCTGTGGTCGAAATAATGTTAGTAGCACTCTTAAACGCTACTACGACTATAAGCACTTTATGTTATCCACAAAACATCTTATTTATATATATATCTTATCTTATATAGCAGATACCATTAATGTAATAAATATAAATCTACCTCTATAATGAAAATGTTTGTACAAAGAGTATGCTAATGCGCCTAATACGAAGTTGTTGAAGATTAAGAGGATGCTTAGGAAATACTTGCATGACAAAGACCTCGTGTAAGATTGATCACTGCATGTCACGGGTTTCGAACCAGCTACAAGGCGACATGTCACCTTTCGTCACCTTGCCGCGACCACGTGACTAATTCCATGCAATTTGTCGGCCCAACGAACCGGTGACGAGTGAAAAGAGATGATGGGCTGACAAATGACGTCGAGGGTCTCACAAAAATGAAATAATGGCCCATACCTAAACGGGTACGGCGAGCGCGGCCATTAGCGGAGGTGTTTGGGCGAACACCTCTATTCTGTAGTTTGCCGTGAAAAGCCTCTTTGTTAGTTCTGTTTGGTCCGTGCATTATGTGGGTACTTATGTCTCATATGACAAATCGTCGTTTCTGCTTGGCCACACAAAGGCAACTTATCTCAATTTTAAAATCCTTATTCGAATGTTTTGAGGACGTACACTTTTACTTTACACTAAAGTTTAACAAAACGAGCACAACTCGTTTATGTCTTTTGAAAATCACAAGATAGGTTTTTAGATAGGTGTTGTATGTTGTGGTTTGTTTACAGTTCAGAGTGCCTATAATTTTAAGTATTATCCTGGTATTATAAGCGTTAATTGCCACAATTGATCAGCATCTTTATTCGTGCAGTACATGTGGTTAAGATTACTTTTTCTTGACTACGTGCAACATCCCTCTTAGTATTGTAAGATGATTTGAAATATACAAAAACATGAACTTAAAAATATTATTATTACAGCGACCACTTAAAGATTCATATGAAGACCCACGATAACCAAAAACCATTCCAATGCACTGTGTGTAACCGCGGGTACAACACTGCAGCAGCTCTCACGTCACACATGCAGGGGCATAAACGGGATCGGGAAGGACGAGAGCCGGACAGACGGCGAGCACTGAGGTGTTTAAGATGCGGAGATGCTTTCCGAAGACCTGACTTGTTGCAGGTATTTTTTTAATGTATTCATTTGTTCTAAACGCAGCTAGCAAAGTTAGGAGTCCTACAATGTATCGTTACCAAGTGTAACTGACATCAAATCATTAGAGGCATTATTTATATTTATTTCTTTTAAGTGAATTGATTTCTATCTAAGGCAAAAAAGTAAACATCGTAATTTCTGAAATAATAAATTTTATATCTTATCCAGGCACATATGGTAAGCGCGCACAGTGTAGATGGTGCTGCGATGACACCACCTCGACGAGTCGCCTCTCAGCCACCACCCACTCTTCTTGCCTGCATATACTGCACACGAGACACATTCACTAGTATGGAGCAACTACAGCTTCACGTCCGAGCCGCACATTCCGCATTACTCAACGGTGACCCGCCCTTACAATCTGTGGAACAACCCGCGCCTACTGATCTCAGTCGACGAGCGACCGATGACGGTCCACAAGTAAAACGTCCTCGTTCTGGCTCTGGAACACCTCAAACAACGTTGTCACCCAACACCTTATTGTGTAATCAATGTGACGCTGCTTTGCCTGATTTCGAAGCATTTCGCGCCCATCTGAAAGGGCATCTCGAAGAAGGAGGAGAGTTAAGTCGGTCGAGCCCCGTCCCTTGTGTCCATTGCGGTGCTACATTTGCAGACGCTGCAGCTTCAGAACGTCATCTCACAGCGCATTATTTAGCCGTCTCGTGTGAATACACTTGCCACAGTTGCGCTCGAAGTTTCTCTGCGCCAGATGACTTGCAAAAGCATCTACTGGAATTGCATGCACATCATCTGTACCGTTGCGCTTTGTGTAAAGAAGTATTCGACTCCAAAGTCGCTATTCAGGTAATACTTGTTTATAAAAATTGTTTTTCATTTTAAGTTGCGTTGAATGGCTAATATATAGTTAAATAGGATGGCATATAATGTTTGTTAGCAATCGATTTTAGACATTTTGAACGTAAGGATAGATAAATGATTTAAAACTATTTTGTTTTGTTAACCACGATTTTCGCGTGTTACTTCAGGTGCACTTCGCAGTCGCACACAGCGGGGAGAACAAAGTATGGGTTTGCCGATCCTGTGGGTCGGGGGCTGGTGCTCTTCGGTCGGAGGCCGAGGGTGCGGCGCACGTGCGTACGCGCCACGCTGCGGCAGCTCCGCGCTGCGCCTGCGGAGCGCTCCTCGCGAGCGGAGCGGCTGCACGTGCACCGCGACAGCACCGCGCCTACCGCTGCCCAGTGCCCGCCTGCAACGATGCCTTCGCGGTACAATACTTACTGGAGAGACACATGCAAGCGCACCACGCCATGCCTCATCAGGTGAGCAGGAACACGATTATGCCACTGTCTAATACCAACCTTATCTCATGAATATATTTTATATATATAAATATAAATATAAACTAGATGACACGATTAGATTAGGAAAAACTTATAGTAATTACAATAACATTTAAAATGCACCTATATTTTGTGTATTATATTACTTACTTTTCATGCCCAGATTAAAATACAGGACTTAGAGACTACTCATAAAATTCTTGTTAGGTACTTAACTTACTAGATTACTTCTCGTGTTTTTTAGGTTATGAATGGTGAAGTTACAAGACCTAAAAGAGTGGACACTAGTAACAGTGGAGATGTAGGTGACGGAGAGCGATCCCCTTGCACTCCTGGAGCAGAAAATGGTGTCCCAGTTGGGGCGCCAGCTGGTGAAGAACGTCGCCGTAAGAATGGCGCTGTTGCACTTCAATGTGCTTATTGTGGAGAACGGACCCGCAGTCGAGCAGAACTAGAAGCGCACACGCGAGCGCATTCAGGAGCCGCCGCCGCGCGACACAAGTGCTTGATTTGTGACGAAGTTCTACCTTCAGCTGCGGTACTCGCCGAGCACAAGCTCACTCATTGCAAGGTAAGGTTTGACTTATATTAAGTCTGTCTAATAATTTTCTATGAAGGAATGGTGAAAAAATGACTAATTGCTAATTGCTAAAATGCTTTAGGAATGCAGGAATGCCGAATTTCATAATACCTAAGAATTGGCATGTTATAATGTCTATTATTAAAATTCACGAAATTTATTTTACCGAAAGTTGTAAAAGCGATTTGTTTACTGATTTTTATACGTTCGAAGAATCAAATGCTCGATGGGTTCTCGGTCCGAAAAACGTAAATTACGATTTTAATTCTGATTCAGTCAGTACATTAATCATGATCTGCCTCGGTGGTGCAGTGGTAACGTATGCGACTGCTGTGCCGAGGTCTCGGATTCGATTCCCGGGTCGGACCAAATGTTTGTATGATGCAAATATTTGTTTCGGAGTTTGGGTATTTTCTATGTATGTATTTACAAAAAAGTATATAAGTATTCTATATCAGTCATTCTAGCTTTCATAGTACAACAACTTAGTTTGAAAACTAGATGGCGTTGTGTGTCAGATGTCTGAAAATATTATGTTTTATTCTTCTCCTTATTACAGCTGCGTCGCGTATCATCTATGGTTATTGAATTCTTTGGGTTAGGTTAGTACAGTAGCGATTAACATCAGATTCTTTTATTGGTGAATCATTTGGGTTTGGTTAGGTTAGAACTGTGACCATGAAAGCGCGAAGTACGGCAGCGGCCGACAAGCGCCAGATCCGCTCTTTTGGTGGTGACTGTTGAATTTTAGAAAATGCAAAACTTTTACAAAAATGTTTAGTAATATGTACCTATTAGAAAAAAAACATAAGATAACGTTATTGTTAATTTTATTCTAAAATTACCCTTTTCCAGGTGGTTGCAGGCGATACGTGTGCTCGTTGCCGCGCAAGATTGTTGTCAGAAGAATCTTTTCTAAGCCATATGGCTCGTCATCATCCTGCTCTTCCAGCTCCGTGCGTCGTCTGTCGACAAACGTTAGCTTCCGAAGCTGAAGCGCGTCTTCATGCGCGTTTCCACTTACGACCAGGAGATGATGAGCAGAGATGTGCAATATGTCTTCGCGCACTTCCTGAAGGAGAGGCTGGTGAGGGTGCACGAGCATGTTCAGCCTGCTATGCTCGTCACGCCGCTCCAAGACTCCCACCACCGGCAGATCACGACTGCCGTCTTTGTCGACGCGCTTTGGGATCACCCACGCGGTTACAAGCGCATCTTATCGAACACACATTTGCTGGTATAGGAGCGTTCACCTGTTACCTCTGTTCGGCTGTATTCACAAGTGCAGCAGGCCTCCAACGTCATCTCCCAGAGCATGCATCAGCACCACGACCTTACGACTGCGCGCGATGCGGGCTGAAGTTTTTCTTCCGCGCAGAACTTGACAATCATGCCTTTGTCCATCTGGAAGAGGCTGAGATAGCTCAACGTGCTTTTTATGAAGCGTATGCCCGTGGAGCAGCCACGGCTTGGGCCGCTTTAGTACCTCCAGAACCACCACGTTCTTCTACGCCGCCTCCTGAAGTGAAACTAGAGACGGAGATCAAGGAAGAAAGAGGAAACGATGAATACATTGAGGTGTCGTCACCGCCACTTGTACAAGCACCCCCTCTTGCGCCATCGTCACCCTCACCCGTTATTAAGCAAGAGAAACCTGACGAGGAGTAAATTTGGTTGAGTTGTTATTGTCTTCGATCAAACATACAATGGATAAACTTTCCTTAAAGGAAATTGAGTCAAACAATAAGCTTTACGTAAATAAATTTAATAAACCATCTTAACAATAATAACTATACATAATTTTGTTGTAATGTTTAATACAAAAACATCAATGTATAGTTATCGTCTGTACTTTATAACTTACAACAACGGAGAGTTTAATTATTGATTTGAAGAATATGGAAAAATTATCGAATTTCTAAAGCATAGTTGTAGCACATTTGGGTATGACCTGATACGTCAAACCATTGCTGCGGGCGCAACCTCTGATAGCATAACTATGCTGACAACTAGATTTAAGCACATTTTATTAGTGATCAATCATCTGTGGTTAATATGATCGAAGGTAACTCCTGGCTGGGTCTGTCAGCGATGTGCCCAGTAACGTATCGTCCGTGACGCGGGTCCCGTACCGCTGCAATACTAGATTACGTCCGTACGAGCTATTTTAAGTGATGAGTTTTGTTGAAGGTTAGTCGTTGAAGTTTTGCGTTCAGAACGCCGTATTTTTTGTAAGTAGTTCGTATCTATTGTTTATGTTGATTAGGAAACGTATGTTTTATAATGTTTACATGGCTATTTGTATAAATTGTTAACTTAATTAATATATTATGTTAAGCTTCAATAACAAAGATTTTTTAATTATACTCCCGTGCACATAGGTGCACATAGCATCTGACAAGGACGAATTAAAATACTAATAAGATCAGTTAACTGTTATCCATATCTTATCAAAACACACAAATAAATGTAAAAAAATGTTCTTGCAAACAAAAATTCGATCGATAAATATGCTAATGTGTAATATCGAAACGGTCACTTAATAATGTTGTTAGTTAAATAATTCAGTAGCAATTACATCTCACGACAGTTTAAAGTAGAAAATATTGTTCTTCGTTCTCGTGATATTGTTCTCTAATACACGTAATTATTATCTGTTGATCACTGAAAATGTTGGCTTTAGCCTCGACCTTGTGAGAGCACTATGGTTATGCTCATCTATGCTAGAAAACCTTTATAGCATACTACCGGCACCGCCCGCGTAAATGTCTTTTATTGCAGTAAAAGATAACCTATGTTCCTCAAGACTCAATCCTCAAGACTCAAAGTATGTCCATACGATATTTCATGTAAATCGGTGCAGCGGTTATTGATTACCCATACAAACTTCCACTCCTCTTTTACCCCCTCAAAGTATGATATCTAGGATAAAAACTTCCCTAAGTCTGTTCCCGGACCCGGACTATCTCTATACCTCATCTAAATCGGCTCAGCAGTTTAAGCGTGAAGAGGTAACAGACAGATAGACAGACACACTTTCGCATTTATAATGTTAGTATGGATATGGATTAGTCTGGATCTAGAGTACAAGGCTGCACATGGCACACGTTATTTCTAGGGGTCATTGCATAATATTATAATTATAATAATTTATTTGACCAATATATATATGATATGCAATATCATATAATATATATATGATATTGCATAATATTATAATTATAATAATTTATTTGACCAATATATGCATGATTTTTTACACATAAAGGTATTAGGATTTAGTTTAAAACTTTAGTCGCTGCCTGCATGAACTAGGGTAAACCTGTGTTTCAAGCGATCGCTTGACATAGAATTTTTAAACTAATTATTAATTATGTAGAAATGTAAAATAAACGATAAACAGATCAATAGAAAAGATGAAAATACTACAAAGTGTACACGTACGAAAGCAAATAATAGAAAATAATATTAAACAATATATTTTCTTTGACAACAATAACAATTTCCAATATATTTTCTTTGTCTGCATAGTTAAATTTACCTAAGTATGGTGACGGATTAAGAATACGGAATGTCACCACCCCAATTCATCCCGTAGGTGTCGTAAGAGGCGAATAAGGAAGTAAACTACGCAAAACAACATCACAAAGAGAAGGAAAAGTTGGCACAAACCCTTTTTTTTTTTTTTAACGTGTGGAAATCCCCTCGGACCGTCAACCCTCCGGGGTTTGCGGCGGGGTGGTGTGTCGGACTCGGACCGACTAAAACCACACGGTGTGCCACTCTGCGCCTGTAACAGGAGGGATCCGGGAACAGCTGTTGTTAAGACATCCGGACCCCTCCTAGCGCCAGCCCGCTCCTGGTGCGGGCTCCGTCTCAATATTTTTGTTTTCCTCTCTTTAGGCGACGTCCGGCACACGCGGACGCCGCCCCCTCGCGGCTGGCCAAACTAATGCGGGTGGAGGGGAAACCCACCCCGTCCACCCGCGGCCACACTCAGGGCGGCATGAGGCTGTGATAGGCGGGCCTCCGATCGGGTCCGAGTGGAGGTCGTCCTCCCGGGCCCTCTCCGCCGCCTCCTTCCGCGAGATTACTACCTCGCAGAAGGTTGCGACCGCGGTAAAACAACTGTCGCTACCGGCCATGGAGCGTACTACGGCCGGTAGCGAGAGATCCACTCCGATGACTGCAGTGAGGGCCCGGCGCTGCGCCGCCCATGCTGGGCAGACCGCCAGCGTGTGCTGGGCCGAGTCCTCACTGCAGTCGCAGTGGTGGCAGGCGGGACTCAGTTCCCTCCTAGCGACCGTGTGCAGGTACTTTCCGAAGCAACCGTGCCCGGAAAGCACCTGCGTCAGCCGGAAGGAAAGGGTCCCGTGCTGCCGCCCTGCCCACTCAGCGATGACCGGCTGGAGAGCCTCCACGGCGGCGAAGCCAGCGCGTGGAGTCTCCAGCCGGAACGACCAACGAGCCATCGTGGCTCGGCGAGCGGCTTCGCGCCACTCGCGCACATCCTCGGGCGGAGGGCGAAATCCGCTCTCCGCCCGGAAGTCAGCCACTCGCCGATAAACTTCGGCGAGCACTTCCGCCTCCAAATCCCACGGGGGAGTTCCGGCCAATGCGCATGCCACCTCCGTCGAAACGGTGCGGTAACCGCGTATGGCTCTGACCGCCATTACCCTCTGAGGGCGCCAGAGGCGTACCCTATTCTGGGCGGTCAGAGCCGCCGCCCACACCGGTGCACCGTACAGTGCCATTGACCGGACAACCCCCGTGTACAGCCGTCTTGTCGCGACGCTGGGTCCACCCATATTGGGCAAAAGTCGCCCTAGGGCAGACGCAGCGCCGACCAGCTTTGGAGCAAGCTGTCGGAAGTGCTCGTCGAAGAGCCACCTCCCGTCGAGGATCAGGCCCAGATATTTCATCTGGGCCCGAACCGGTACGAGGACCGAGTTGACCACGATTGAGGCGCCAGGGGTTGGACCACGACGGGGCCCATGGAATAACAGGGCCTCCGTCTTATCTAGGGCCACCCGTAAGCCCAGCGCCTCAATGCGCCCGACCACCAGGGAGACTCCCCCTGTGGCCAGGCGCGCCGCCTCTTGGAAGTTTGCCCCCCGGGCTGTCACCAAGGTATCGTCTGCGTAACAGATTACACCCAGCCCGGGGGGGAAATCGGCGCGAAGGGCCCAGTCGTACCCTATGTTCCACAAGAGGGGTCCAAGAACAGACCCCTGTGGAACACCGCACGACATGGGCCGACTCCTCAAATTACCTTCTCGGTCCTCGTACACGACGGTACGCTCCTCTAAGTAGTCTGCCACTAGCCGCCTCAGGTACTTTGGCACCCCATGATAGTGGAGTGCTTCCCTGATGCAGCTGAATGGCAGACTATTGAATGCGTTGGCGATGTCTAATGACACCGCCAACAGCACGCCGCCACAGCTCACTGCCTCTTCGGTCACGGCCCTCAGGCGCAACACGGCGTCGACTGTCGAACGCCCCGCCCGAAAACCAAAGTTTGCAAACCCTATACCAACCCGTCTGGCCAGCGTGGTATAGTGGGCCAGAACCTCCTTTCTAAGGGGAGGCCTATGTCCAGCATAGCCTATTATAGGCTGTCGATGTGAAGTATTCTGATAAAATGATCACACATTTTTTATTATTGAGGCTGTATATATTTAGTATTCTATTAATTTTATTGTACATAAAAGGTCCTAAAATATATACAATCTATGAACAAATGTCTACATACTATGTCCTTCCTTCTCTTATTTGGTGGTATGGGGTTATAGGGAAGTTCAGTGTGCTGTTTTAGAATGCTGTCCAATATAAATAACTGTCGGACTGTTAGTACATTACATGTCATGTAAAGCTCGTGCGTGGGAAATATGAATGAGCGGGATGTCGCCACCTTAAGAATAGCTCTTTGAGCCCGCCCTAAAGGCAGTAATATTAACTTTGCTGCACCGCCCCACGAAGTAATGCATAAGTAAGTATTGATTGGCACAACGATAAATTAATACACTTGCCTTAATAATGTGTAATCGGCTACATTGCAAAGACTCTTAAATTTGTATGTAAGTATATTAATTTTCGAATATTATTAAATAATAATATTATTACTAGATAGAGCAGATGGTTCCTAAGAATCAAGTAAAATTTATAATATTGGTTGCATAAGCTGTTCTAACAGACTATTAATAAAATACTTATCAAACAAGACTCAAATGGTGGAATAAGAAGAAGCGGTAAGAATAGGGTTTCGACACTTTTGATAGATCAAGGCGATAAGAATCTTCGGCATGTGATTGATAATTTTTGTAAGTAGGTTAAAAACATTAATAATATAAAAAAAAGATTCCGTTGAATCAAGAACCTCCTCCTTTTTTGAAGTCGGTTAAAAATATCTTTATGTTAGATAAATAAAACTTGAAAAAATCTGTACCCATTAGTGATGGCTGTAAGATGCAATCGGATAAGAAAAACAAAAGATTTAAAAAAATGTGAAAATTATTTGTTTCTCAAATATTTACAAGGAAGTAGGTTAAGAATATCATAATATCGTAAACCTCGTGAAAGTTTAACCGCAAATATTAACAGTTTTTATTGTGCATTGTGACAAAATGAAAGAAGATCCCAACTTAGAATACAATAAGTTTTGTCTTGACAACCTTGTCAGGTGTATGATTCCGGCAGGAGCCATACGGCTATGAAGACGACGCGACGTACCTGGGATCAAAGTGGCTTCATACATTGATGATATGTTATAAACAGGCATAAAAGTTATTTTTTACAGGCATAAAAATTATATGCTGGTTACGTGACAGTCTTGCCTCGTCAGAAACTCACAAATTGTAGATTTGCCCCTTAAATCACTGTAAACGGTTTTTGCGTGCCTCCGATACAAAGAGCCGGCTAGGTGGTCGTGGTTTGACCTTGTGGCGAAAATTTCCTCGCAGTACTTTTGCAATTTCGACATGATAATAGCATAGAAGTATTTATAATTTACAATATTTATTTTGACAATAACAATTCCTATGCTAAAAATAATTATAATTTGAAAATTCATTCTGAAAATTAACGTATTTATAGAAACATGACTTTCAAATACTTGTAAGTTACTGAAAAATATTAGATGACTCTATAAAAATACAAAATGATTAAGGTGTGGCTATTTGCTGCTGTATCCAGGGAAGGAATCCGGCCACGTTAACGTATACTCCAGGCACATTAGTGGTAGCACAGCCGAGGCCCCACGCAACAAGACCAACCACTACCCATTGGCCGTTCACTTGACATACCAGGCCTGAACCACCGTCACCCTGAAACAGACAATAGTGTTTGACCTCTATGATTGATTCACAGTGTTACATTTGCACCTAGCTTCATAAAGACCTGCATGAAACCTGAAGACTTATTCTTATCGAATATTTGACTTATCTTCTTAGACGTTATGAAAATATATGCACTTAATGAATGGCTTTGGTTAATGTACGTTATGGCAGGAAATTAGGAATACTCTGAAACTACTCTCCTTGCCACTAAGTTTATATTGACAAGCTTGTCGGTGTTGTTGGTTAGTGACCCTGACTGCTAAGGAGGTCGTGGGTTCGATTCCCACTCAGGACAAATAATTGTGTGATGAGCACGACCATTTGTTCTATTTTCGGGTATAATTTATCCATAATATGTATGTGTTTAGAAATATTTAAGTATGCTATTAGAACAGACTAAGGGAGCAAACTACGCAGTACAACAGCACTGCAAAGAGATGGAAAACTTGAGACAACAATATTTTTTGTCTTTCCAGCCAACCCGTCTTTCCAGCGTGATATAGTAGGCCAAAACCTCCTCTCTAAGAAGAGTCCAGCAGTGGACTATTAAAGGCTATTTATAACGATAATGATGAAGTATGCTTATCAGCAGTCTGGTTAACATAGCACAGGCTACGCTAGTTTGGGATCAGAGTGCCGTGTGTGGGATGTGTGTAGTTATTATTATTACGTATGCAGACAAATAAATGTATACACAAAAATCAGTTTAGTGTTAAAGATAACTTACTGTACACGAATCCTTACTCGGTTCGCCACCAGCACAAATAAAGGAAGTGGTGTCTAGTACATAGGTAGGTCCTAAACGCGCTGTCTGTAATTGCGTCTGACATGTCGCTGGTGCTACTATCGGCACATCCACTTTCTTCAGTATTTGTTGATATTGGCCTTGCGCACCGAACATGTCTTTACCCCAACCTGACACCATACATCTAGAAATAGATATCTTGGTTATCCTTCAAGAAATTTACTTATTTTAATCGACTGCCAAAAATAGTTTAAAATTACACTTTTTTTATATACACTACAACACATTTTTGCTTGCTTCACAATTGTTGGATCTGTAGCTGCGGGCTCTATATTCCAATTGGTATTTAATACTAAATAAACATAAAATACGAAAAAATATTTGCCATTTTTCCTAAATTAACTAGCCAACATTTTTTAATGGGTGTTATTTTTTGGTTGGGTGTCATCCGGCATTGGGTAATCGTTGGACATTTATTTTGCAATAATAGTCTTCTTTGACATAATTGTAAACTACGGGTTTGATGAGCCTTTTCTCTTTCTATAGTTATATTGCCAAAAAGAAACATATAGCACTATATGTTTCTTTTTTTGCATTTCTTATAGCAACAAGAAATGAAAAAAATATGAGAGTACACACAAGATTATTTAAAATGATTAAAAAATTACTAGTTAAACCACAAACAGAGCTACAACAGAACACACAAGTGAGCCTAAAAATTGAACACTAATTTCCAAAAAATATTGTTGTTCAAGTTCATTATGTATTATAAGATATAAGAATCCGTATTTAATAATGAAAATGATAATCCGGACCTTTGTCCTGTGTAAGCTGTATTTGCAGCCGCCGGAAGACACGCTCTGTTAATAGTCACTGCAGCACCCGCAGTTGGTGTAAATGGTACTGCTGAAGCCAATCTCAACATCATGATGTCATATTGCAATGTATTAGCGTTGTAATTTGGATGGCTGAACACTTTGCTGATAGTATATTCTTGAAAGGGCACCGGTTCGTATGTGCCACCGGCATCCCATTCACCCATTCTCACTTTTACATTAGGAGCAGTTCCTGAAACACTAATGTCAAAAACCTTCTACAATAATAATAGTAAAATTTCTACAAAAATAAATAAATGAATTTTTAACTATACGTACACATAAGGCAATAGTCTGTGAGTAACAGTCAATACATTTAATCCATCGATAAGTACACCTCCAGCAATGTAATCATTCTGTTTTGTCAGTATTATAGCCTGGAATGTAATAGTACATATTAACAGTAGTGGCATGATCTTAATAAATAATTTTAGAATAATTCCATCAAGAGATAGACATGTACCTGCCAAGGAAATTCTCCAAAAGTAGCCTGACCAAACGCTGGTGCTACAGCTGTTGCGGGGACGGCTTGTCTTAAGCCGCAATTAATTATTGCAGCGGGAGGAGTAGTGCCGGTACAACAATATTCCTGACCAGCTGGACATTGCTGAATTTTTATACAATTTCATTGAAATATTACAATATATTGATTCCAAGGCAAGTTTATTAGATTTCGGAAAGAAAAAATGATTATTCACTAGTTAGGACACGCTAGTTGCCAGAATACTTAAAATATATCAACCCATCCTCGATAGTACCATCAGATTTAATTCTTGGTGATTGCACCATCCCAATACAATAGTATGTTCGGGTTCCACTGGCATTAATAAATATTTTTCTAATTCATTACTTGTCTTATTTTCTTTTTGGATAGTGAACAAAGATATTTTCTCTATATTTCTGTGGCAGGCTTTATTTTTTAACAAGAGTTTGTTAAATAATTTTCACTAAAAAAGTTTAATATTAAAAGAAAAATAATCATTTTTTAATAAAGGATCTAAAATCACTGCGAATTCTCTGAAATATGTTTTGAAATTCTCTGAAATTGACAGACTAAGAATACATAAGTTAATTGGAATAATTAATTTGTCAAAAAAGTCAGGAAGACTCAAAACTTAAGTTCTTGAAAGAACTTGAGTTCCATAGTAAAAACTATTATATGAGTCGAGTGTTTTTGCATTAGGCCTCCACTAAAGGACTCAAGACTCAGAACTTAGGACCATTTAAGTCCGAGATTTGCGAGCACCACCAAAATAAGCCAAGTCCCTAAATTAAAACTTAAAGAACTCGAGTCAAGTTCTTCGCTAGTTATACAAGGGTTCAAAACCCATAACATTAATCAGAAATACAATACATGTCTATTTATTTTATTAGATAAGAAACTTACCGGTGTGACGATTCTGATATCTATTAAACCAGCTCCTGAATTACGATTACAAGTTCCAGTAGCTACACACATACAGCTTTGTCTTTTTTTAATATTGTGTTTGCAATTTTTTTGTTCATCAACATTAATGTAGTCTTTTACATCCATTCTATATTTACGGTTCACGCTTCTTCGTGATCGGGGAAAGTTTACAGGGGAGTTGTACGAAGCCACGGGTGCATTGTAAGCAATGAGTGGCAAACTTTGCGGTGCTGATGGTGCCATAGTGGAGCCAAGACGGGGATCGATTGGTATAGGTCCTGCAGTAGATTATTTATAATTAAAATGCATATAATTTCTGGATTGTTATAACTTATAAAATGTATGAGTTTTCCACCTAAAGTCGTTTGTGCTGTAGTCTGTGCTGTGGTCTGTACTGTAGTCTGTGCTGTAGTCTGTGCTGTAGTCTGCGCTGTCGTCACTGCAGTTGGTGGTTGGTTGGAAGACGGAGCCGAAGTTATCATCGTAGTAGGAAGAGTAGTCGTTTGGGGAAGGTTTGTCACAGTCGTCACGGCAGGCATAGTCGTCGGCAGTGTTATTGGCGCCGCCGTCGTAACAATTGTCACAGGAGTCATCGTAGGAACAGTGGTCATATTACCAATGGTTGGCGCTGGTGTCGGAGCTGCTGTCGGTGCTGCTGTTGGTGCTGCTGTAGGTACAATAATGGGTGCCGGTGCACCAGGCACAACCACAATGGGGTACTGATTTCCTGGCAGCAGTCCCAGGCATGCTGTTAAAATCCACAGACACATCAAAAAGAAAAACGCAGTATAATGGAGTACACTTCACCGCGAACGTCCAGAGTCTGTTATGGTTGAAGGTGATGGTGTGGTAAACATTAAATACGTCCTTAAAAATTACAATTGATGGTATTCCCCTAACCATTCCAACCTTCATGCTGTAATGCGCATGGTCACATAGCGATAAATTGTAGCAATCAACAAAATGTCGATTACTCATCTTTTGTTAGTAGGCAAATGTCGTAATGTTAGTCATCATTTTAAAGGGAGTAAATTGTTGTAATGTCACTTCAATTTTTAATACGGAACTAGAATAATGCTGTAGAGGAACAGATAAATGACATAATGTTTTGTGATATATACCCAAAAAACCCTGAGTATTAATCTAATACCCAAAAATGTAATCGTTTGATACTTAATTTCTGAATTGTTGACATGTGTATGTGTCATAATAATAATACTTTACTTTGAAACAAAAAGTTAGTCAAATTTGCACTTAATTTCGCTGGATACTATAAAATGCCGAATTATGTAAGTAAATAAATAATTTTAATGAAAAAAACATATATACTCTAAATTTACAACATTGTGTACAGAAGTTTTGCTAGGTGAGTTGGGACTAGATTTCTGGAACTGTTCCCATGTTCTGAAGTTAATGTTACATTCTCCTAAAATATAATTTTGAATTATAATCTATACTAATATTATAAAGCTGAAGAGTTTGTTTGTTTGTTTGTTTGAACACGCTAATCTCAGGAACTACTGGTCCGATTTAAAAAAATATTTAAGTGTTAGATAGCCCATTTATCGAGGAAGGCTATAGGCTATATATCATCAGGCTAAGACCAATAGGAGCAGAGCACCAATGAAGAATGTTTCAAAAACGGAAAAAAATTATTACTATTGAGAGACGCAGACGAAGTTGCGCGGGTCAGCTAGTATACATATATGTATGTAACCAAAGATGGTCAAAAAAATATGTCGAAAAAGAGTTTCTTGTTTGTTCTTCTCAAAAAATCTACGTGTTGGAACAGAACATGTATTAATAGTAAAATAATTTATTATTATAAATATAACAATAAATAAAATAAAATAAATCAATCTTGTATCAAATCTTTTATACTTATTTTGTAGGAAAAAAGTTGAATATACGAACTTCACTTAAAAACTATCATCCACGTTGTACGTGAGTAACGTGATTAGTTATTATGTTTGAATGCGGAAAGTTTATAAAAAATAATAATTTACTATTTGACACTTAATACAATCTATGATGGAAGCCTCAAAACGTATCCATTGTTAAAAATTTAAATGTATAAACGTTTGGTTATTCTATACCGGTTACACACAAAATTGTAGAACATAATTATAAACACTAATTTAAAATAACAAGGGGACAATTTCGTTTTTTTATTTGTGAATACTCAGTCGTTTCCATAAACAGTGCAAAGGTTATAATTTTCTTGTAAATAAGTTTATTCCCTTAGCTTTGATCGCCCAAAAGCTAATTTTAGGAATGCATATTAGATGTCTAACTAACCTTGAGGTCGTAAAAGAGGCTAAAAAGCTCAATTGACCATTCTGATGGCATTAGGCGTAGAGTCAAAACTATTTGGAAATGAGATTCTTACGGCTTGTTCTGCTATTGCTTTAACGAGGTAAGCCACTTAAAACGAACGAAATAGTACTAGTAAAATATAATAATCAGTCTCACGATCAAAATTTATGTAGTTTCATGTGAATTGATTGATTACTTAAAGTAGTCAGCAAAATACTATACAGAACCTTTACAAAGATATTCATATATTATATATACTACTATAAGTTACTTATTTATTAAAGAGTATCAACATTGAGAAATACATCTCTCATTTATATGTCCATTGTAGACACTGCTAGTATGTATTATAGTTACATTATTTAGAAGAAGTTTAAAGGTCATGTTGAATAACTAACAAGGAATAAAACTAAGTCCTAAAATTTAAATTACAAAATAATAGAACCAAATACAAAATCACACATGATTACGACACAGCTAACTCTGATTATGCACCAACATATGAATTATTAAAGATATTTGCAGATTCATAACCAACACACAGCTACATGTTTTTTCTAACAACGATTTCTCTATGGTCTTACTTAAGATGTTTACAAAGCAGGTGCATAATAATGGCACCGGATTATACACGAATAAATTTAATATACTATATTAGTCACCTTATGTCGTTTACATACGATATAAAGCAATAACTGTGTGCTACAATTTTTATTTCATACCTTACATTTGAATATATTTACAATTTACCATGATATGATATTAATAAACAATTAATTCTCTTTAAACGTTGGTATATTCACTTTAGTGTAACGAAAAATATTATGATTAAAACAAAAAAGATACGAGACACGCTAAAAGAACAGCGGCCAAATCGTACCTGATTCACATATGTCCTATATATGAAAAAATCCGTTATTTTTCACAGCCTTAGAAAAAACTGGAAATATATTTTTAGAAAGCCATAAAAAAGATTAACATTTAAACGTTACTTTTGTCAGAAACTACCAAGTTAATATTCAGAACGCACCGAGTGACGTTTCATTTCGCTTATAAAAGGACTCAAAAATCAAAAGTTGCAATAATTATTCTTATTTTTTTAGTGATTAGCAGTAATTCAAAGAATTAAATAAGTAAATAACAAACCAACCAGAGCTTACTTAATTTAATTCATTTTTGTCATAAAAATAAGTATATAAGGTGTGTAGTAATCATCAGAGTTCTACACATATGCGTAACAAAGAACATCAAATGTTAATATAGGCGTCAATATATGGTAATATTGACGCCGATAACGGCGAAAAAAATATGTTTTCGAAATATTACCAAGACTTTTTTTATTTCCTAAGTTAATTTTTAGTGATTATTTGATCTATTCCATGTTATAATAAGTAAATAGAAACAAGGTCAAAACTGAACTTTATCTGCCTTTTTTATTCTAACCTCAAAATTAATTTTAGCAATAATTAATTATCTAGGCTACTCAGATTTTATTTTCAGATAGGATGCTTTTACATAGATGTGTGTTTTCTTAGATTTTACTACATGAAAATAATCTAATCTCACCACTATATCTCATCACTATACTGTTTCTCCTCGCTCAAAATAAAATTCAGGTCCTACTTCTACAGAAACTTGCCGATGTTCTGTGGTATGTAAGCTAATACTAGTACACAAACAACAACAAAAATTCTAAAACATCAAACTTTAACCCCCCACCCTCTCCCCTCATCTCTTATAGAAGGGGATGGAAGTGTAAGGCTTCCGCAAATATTGAGTTTTGATGCTAAAGTTCTGAAAATTGATATAGAGACTCCGTGTCATAAACTTATATATAATAAAATTGCCCAGAATATTTTAAAAACTATAGAAACAAGCAGGTAACGATACTGAATCAATCATCGTTACCTGTTACGATTTAGTTCTTAACACATGACATAGATGGCGTTCTAAAAAAAATATGCAACAAACATAATATAAATTATCTGTAACTGTAAAACTGTATAGTTAATTAACACTTTAAATAAAAGCGCATGGCAATATACGAATGCTAAAAATACAATACTTTAAGATGCTGCAATTTGCTGATTTATCCAGGGCAGATAGGAAGCCACGTTGACGTATACTCCAGGCACATTAGGGCTACCACAGCCAATGCCCCATGAGACTAAACCCACTAATATCCATTTTTCGTCTACTTGACAAACTAGGCCTGACCCACCGTCACCCTGAAATTAGAAAAGACGATATTGACATTTTGAGAAAATGACAATGATGATGAATGAATGATAACATGATAATAATTAAAATTTTAACATATTAAAGTTGCATGTGTTCAATTTTCAACCTCCGCATCTAACCTATTTTATTAATTTGTGCATCACATAATTACACTCATGTCTAATATAAATTGTAAAATATATATATATGTACAATATGCCTAATATATATTTAATAGATAACTTAAAAGATCTTATTAATAGATAGTACTAACTCTTAAAAGTGCAGTAGGTATCGTAGCGGTGCGGTTCGATTTAAAAACATTTATTTCTCAGAAAAAGAACAATACAGTTCACTTACATACTGAGAAAATGTAATAACACAAAATAAATTAGTTAAGATCTCTCTGATCACAATACACTATACAGTGATATTTTTATATTACTGTAAAGTGTATGTATTTATTTGTATGTAAACTAAAGATATGAAGACAATTTTATTGGTGTCAGAACTTTTTGCTAATGTAATCTTCTAAATTATTTTTAAATTTAAACAAGCTATCACTTTTAGTAATATCACTAGGTATTTCATTATAAAGATCTGATATAATATATTTTACATCTCTCATGTTCGGTAAGTAGGTTCTTATTACCTCCAAATGGGGCTTGTAAGTGACTGATTAGCGCTCTAGGGTAATAATGTAGAAAAAATGTCTAGAAAAGCCCTAGGGCGGTAAGTAATTAAAAAAAAACACTTCTTTCTTTCAAAAAGTTCGCGTACATCTTACCATCATACTGGCAATAGACATCATGCATTCAGCCCAATGACCAAAGAGGTCGCTTTGCTACTCAGCCTTGTCTTCGTGTGAGTATAATAGTCATCAATTTTAAATATCGAACGGCGAACCTCAATTTCGATCTTGAAAAAAAAAACCTAAAAAGTTCTTTACTTGTTTCTTTTTAATGAAAAAAGGCGGGAATAGAAAACTTTTACTTTAAAAATTGTTTGTTTTTGGGATTACTTTATGATTACGTGCTAATTAAGAAAAAACATGAGTTCTTGAAGTGACGAAGATCCCAACAAACACCTGTCCTTAAAATTTGAAATTTGTTCTCATTTCACTATAAATTTCAACAAATAAAATGTTTTATTCTTGTAATGCCGGTTTTTTTCTACTTACCTCACAATCGAGATGTAAAGGAGAATAGTTAGCTCGGGTGTAAGCATCAATTGCACCCTCGAACTATAGGCGCACGAGCTGGGCCCGTGCGCCTAAATATTTCGGGCTGCAATTGATGCCTTACAGCCCTTGGCTACTAATCTACTATTTCTTCATATAATATACTAGCTGACCCGCGCAACCTTCCTATAGCCTTCCTCGATAAATGGGCTATCTAACACTGAAAGAATGTTTCAAATCGGACCAGTAGTTCCTGAGATTAGCGCGTTCAAACAAACAAACTAACAAACAAACAAACAAACTCTTCAGCTTTATAATATTAGTTCAGATTAGTTACGGTGTTAGCAGCGCCATATACTGTGCTGCCTAAAAATAAACTTTAACTATGATTCGAAAAATGTGTATAGGTTTATTCTGCGTTTTTATTAAGTATTGATTATTCACTACTTGACTCCTAAGGTTCTTAGCGTGATATAATATAGCCTACAATATGCCTGGATAAATATTCTATTCAACATAATAATCTTTTATCGAATCGAAAAATTTGTTTCAGAGATTAGGCAAACAAACCAAACCTCTTTTTACATTAATATTATTAATCCGGTTTTAGTAGATTATGATGGACATAAAAAAATCTATTTCTAAAATATCCATAATTCTTTTATTTAATTAATTAATAAATATCATATGTTGATCAGTTGCAGAAAAAATTAAGTTTAGATATAGGTACCTAGATAAGTTTTCTTTCATAGTGCATTGGAGGTGGTTCTGATCCGATATTACACTACACTGAATTATTTTTGTGTGAAAAGCATATTTTTTTAAATACCATTTAAATATGTCAGCGTGCGTAAATGAGACTTACAAAAATTACTTTGGTCATACGCTGGAAATTAAAGATAGTAATTGCAACTATTAGAGTACGAAATCTACTACCTGCACCTTACAGGAATATTTAGTAAATGTTTAGTAAATATTTAGTAAATGTCAAGGTGCATAGAAAACTGTCAGCTCTCTATTATTCACCGTTGTTCTACTTTTTGGTATACTAGTAGAACTGATAAGAAAAAAAATCACATCTGTTCTACTATGCAGTATGGATAATGGATGACTAATAGGAATTATTTAAATACCATTAAAATATACCTTATGTTCTACTAGTAGAATAATCCGGTAATGTTTTCAGATGATTAGGTTGTCCTATTTGTTCTACTGTTTGTTACATAATGCAATCCCTTTGAATAGACCGCTCTCTATTGTCGCTGTAATGGATGCAGCGGTATAGAAGTATAGTTATATTAAACATGAGCAACACGGTAGGGAGTAGCCATACGCAGGCGTTCCCCTCTGCCAAAATATAAGTCCACACGGTCATATGCGTACAATAACCGCTCACTGGACTAAATCTAGTTTTCCTGTTCAGTAGACGATACTAGCCGTCTTACAAAAATACCGAATTGTTCAGTTTTTTGCTTCAAAAAGAGATCTGCCACGTCACGTTTACAAAAAGATAGCGTTCATATTTAAGTAATTTTTAATCAAATTCTTAATATTTTCTGATTTTTAAACTTAAAATTTGCGAAAATAACTCTTGTATTGTTTTGGATTTTTTTACCAACACAGGCCGCTCGCTCTCATACAATATTCGGATCGGTAGAGCAATCGATCCGAGTGTCGTGACTCGTGTTGCTAACCGCTATCACAGAGCGATAGTGTTGTTACCGGTTTGTAAATAGTTCGATATCGATAAAACATATACATACATCCGTCTCTCGTGCATATTATCATTTATAAGATTATGTTTTCTTATATAATAAACATAATTATGTGAATTGTGAGCTTTATTTTAATATAGTTTAATATTAAAATTGCGTTCAATCAAATATAATACAATATTTACGCGTATTAAAATTGTACACATTATATAAAAATGGTTTTTAAAACACATTGTTTTTATTTATTTATTGCAGTTTTTATAAAGATCCGAGTTTAAAGGCTATATGGAAGAACTTTTGTTGTAACAGATACCTTACCTAAGATACCTACAAGAAACAGTGTCATTTGCTCAGATCATTTCAAGAACTTTGATTTTTAAGTGTTTGTTTTTGATTGAATTACTTTATTTAAATGAATTTCTGTTTATTTTAAGTATGTATGCATAGTGACTCTGTTTGGGATAACAATCACTGCCGGCTTTGTATAAATAACCAGACGGATACTAATTAATAATGAATGTATTTAATTTCTTATTTTAAGTGAACTGTACAGTTTTTATAAGAAAGTTAAATTAAAGTTCTTTAAACCGAACAACAGAAGGATGGAACATTCTTAATAAAAAACGTAACCCACAGATATGTATTCCACATATTTATAAAAAATTAATCCTGTTTAAAACCAGTGATAGATAAAACCATTGGTAATATCAATGAAAATTGTTGTAGTAATAAATAAAGTCCTATCTATAATAATATCCACCTTTGTCTCACTTTTTAAAGCTAATTTCCCTAACTGACTTCTCGAATTTATCGATTTTGCTTTCGAACGTAACAAGCCACGGTTGTTTGCAACGTGTCAATGTAGTGCGTCACTTCATTACACTGTTATTACACAGAATGTGTATAGGTGTGTGTGAAATTGTTAGTGTATTGTTTAACTTGTTTTTGTATGGGTGTCTGAGAATGTGTGCGTGGTGAAGATTCCCCCCCCCCCCCCGCAAAAAATGACAGACTATTTTGTATCACGAAAAGTCGCTATGGCTACTCCCCTCCGGTCCGCCGGTGACCTGTGTTGCTCTCTGACATGAAACATTACCTTATAATGAACACTATTTGTTATATAATAATATGGCGGTTAGGATTTTTTAAATCATGGATGACGTAGGCATTAGCAACTCTTGTTATTGGAACATTTCATGAAAACATCGTAACAGTACTAGTGATTTTATGAATTTAATGTCAATTTTTTAATTAGAAATAGACCCACCGTGCACACGTCTTTACTCGTCTCTCCCCCAGCACAAATAAATGACGAAGTATCTAGTGTGAAGTAAGATCCAAGACGCGTGGCCCGAAGCAGTTTCTGACATCTCGCTGGATCTACTATTGGTACATCTACCATCTTAATTGTGGTCTGGATAGTACCCTTTGGACCAAAAACTTGGTGACCCACGCCTGCCACGACACACCTGAAATAGTGACACCGACATTTTTAGTGAGAAACATGATATGAACTGCTACCTACTTAAGTATAAGAAAGATGGCAGAAGGAGATTTCAAAGACTGACAATGTTTTTATAGCTTTTTAATATTTGCATATTTTTTTTTATTTACCTATGTTTTATTTACCCATGACTCATGTTACATGTATGTTTGTAAAGGCCCCCGGGACACAGGAATATATTCCTAATGCGGGCGTTGGCTTTTAAAATGTTGCGTGAGGGCAAAAAAATGTGTGGTAATATAATAGCTAGTTCAGTAATATTTATACCTTTGTCCTGTATAAATTGTGGATGCCGTTGGTGGTAGACATGCTCTATTAATCGTTGCTACAGCTCCTGCACTTGGTGTGAAAGGAACTGCTGAAGATAGCCTTAATACCGCAATATCATTCTGAAGCGTTTTAGGAAAAAAATTTGGATGGCTGAACACTTTACTGACTGAGTATTCCTGGTAGAGCGATGAGTCACGCTGTGTAGCATTCCAGTCGCCCATTCGAACTTTTAAATTAACAGGTGTTCCTGGAGTTCTGAAAATATTTCATAATTTTTTTGGAAGTGAAAGTTTCATTTACAAAAGGTTAAGCTCCAAATGATACGTACACATATTGAAGGACCTTATGAGCAACGGTCAGCACATTAAACTCATCTATTAATACAGTCCCACTGACATAATCCGTCTGCGTCAGTAGTACTCCCTGTAATATGGGCATTAATTAATTATAGTTTTATTTATTAAGAATTAGATATTATTAAGAATAGTTCCTTAATGTCTTTAATTGACTCCTTCTGTCAAATGGAATATAACATACCTGCCAAGGATTTTTACCATCGCTGGCTTGTCCAGTTCCTGTTGTTCTGGGTGAAGATCGTACAGTTTTTATTACACCGCAAGAATCTTTTGTTGCGATATCAACAGTGTTGCCACAACAGTAGTCTTGATCAGCTAAACACTCTACCTGAATATTGAATATAAATGTAAAAATTATAAAAAATAATTAGGTACAATAAATAAAAATCACTTCATTTCTTACCCCAGGAGTGCCAATTATGACATCATTTTCATTTGCAGAACAAGTGCCAATGGGTACACAACCACAGAACTGTCGTTTTTTGATACGGTGTTCTCTGTCTACTTCTTGAACATTTTTCCAAGAATATTTTACTCTCTTAAAAAAATTGAGATCTGCATTCCTTCGGAATCTCGGAAACTTAACGGCGGTATCAAAGGATGGCATCTGAGCACTATAACCAGCGATTGGTGGAGGATTTATCACCGCTGCTGGTGTCAATGTAGTCCCTACTTGAGTGCGATAGGGGCCTGTTTTGCCACTTAGATCATGAGGGTTAACGACACATACAATTTCAGAATTGGAACAAATTACAAGAGGTATAATAGTTCCACTTAATGCTGGATTTAAGATTGCAGGTGGAACTGCAGTTGTAGTAGGAGCTGGGATTATGGTGGTAGGTGGGAGTGTTAAAATTGTAGGAGGCAGTGTCGGTAGGGTGGGCGGAGGAAAAGATGGTGGTGATGTCGTAACAATTGTAATTAGTTCTGGACTGGGTACAACAAAGGGCGAGGGTTGACCGGGCACTACCACAGCCGGTGAGGGGTTGCCAGGCAGCAGACCCAGACATGCTGTTAAAACCCACAGACACATTATTAGAAGTGCACTTCACTACGGCCGATCAGTATTTGAAATAGTTGAAGGTGTGAACAGCTAATTATTAAATACTTTGTTAAAATTACGATGAATGCTATAGACGCAACCTTCATGGTGTAATGCGCATAACAGCAAATAAATTGTTGTAATCTATTGTTAGTTGACGTATGTTGAAATGGTTTTGATAATTTTTCAACTAAAATATTGCCGTAATGTCTGCTCGCGCCTAATACGTAATTAGGAGCATATCCCTAATATACCTCTCAGCCGAAAGACGTCCACTGCTGAACATAGGTCTCCCAAGGTTCTCGCCATAGGGGTGTTCTGCCATAATCGCTCCGCTTGGCATGCGGGTGCTCAGTAGAATACTGCGGCCTATCCTGTGGTGTACAATCCCTTAGTTGACTTTTACGATACTCCATATGTAGGACATTCTTATTAGTTTTTTACCAAGGCAGCAGGCTAATTTAAGTATAGCTACTGAACTACTTACAAATAAATAATCGTTGCTACATTATATATCGATGGCTGGCCTACTTCTAGACACTATTCAGTTAATATTATTGCAAAGTTAAAGTGAAGTATGAACATGCGGAACATGTATTCACAACAAATTATAGATTTTTACCTATGAAGTTGGAGATTTTATAACCAGCATTATCAGATTTAATTATCCGTAGATTGGCGCGCAATTCTAATTTAAAAAGCAGTCATTTGTTTCAGATAGTGTTTTGATTTTGGATAAACTGGAAATTCGTACAATTTTCGAAAATGAGTTCCTACATGGAAATTCGCAAACAACACAAAGCATTAACGACGTATACGAGCCTAATACTGGTTGCATAACCACGGCCCATTATTGGTTCAATCGTTTTAGATCTGGAAATTTTGTTGTCAATCGTTCTTCCCCATTGCTGCTCCACGACAACGCGCGAGCTCACACTTCACGATTGACCATTGCAAAGCTACAACAAAAGTTACAGCTGGAAGTTCTCGAACACTCACCGTACTCACCGGACCTTGCCTCAACAGATTCCTACTTTTTTCAATATTTAGAGATCTTTTCAAGTATGAAAAAATTCAACACCCGAGAGGCGTTACAAAACGCTTTCGCTGACTTCATGAACTCTCGCCCACAGACTTCTACAGTAAAATGATAAGCAAACTGCCATCAAAATGACAAAATTGTATAGGCTTATACACCAATCCGTACTTTAAGCTTTAGCTTATTATGTGGACTCGAAATCGACTTCTCACTCAAATAAACAAACAAGAAAGTGGTCAATGAAAGCGGGACATCAAATGTATCCATCGTTTAATAGTTTAGGTAAGTCCAAAGCTTCTTGTTGTCCTTCTGACGAATATCTTTCGGTGACTGAATCTCTAGCTGAAATTAAACTCCAGGCGATTTTGAATAAAACGGCTGAACGATTAGTTAAAGTTCAGACGGAAGTCATTAGAAGTGTGTTACCTCGTTCTTATTATATGTTGATAAGCAAATGGGGCTGTGATGGGAGTTTGGGGCATAGCACGTATAAACAGAAATTTGAGAACACTAACGTTACAGACGAATTTTTGTTCGTATACTCATTTGTCCCTTTGAGACTGCTTGATGGCGAAACTGTGATCTGGCAAAATCCAAGACCTTCCTTTACTTTATATTGCCGTCCTATTAAGTTTATTTATGCCAAGGAGACAAAAGAGTTTACGAAAGAAGAAACTTCTAAAATTTTAGATGAAGTAAGTCAGCTTCTTCCAACATTATGTAACGTTGATGGATCTCAAATCTCTGTTAAACACGACTTTTTGTTGACAATGACTGATGGCAAAATGTGCAATGCCCTAACAGACACAAGTTCAACCCAAAAGTGTGATATTTGCGGTGCCACCCCGTCTACTATCAACGAGGAGTCAAAGAAATATCCCAGCAACGAAGAACACCTTGCATTTGGTTTATCTACTTTACATACAATTAATAAATGTGAGTACAATCATTATGATTTTTATTTTTTCCCTAGAAATTTCTTTGACAACAAACATGAGTGTGCTTTACACACATAATGAGTAGGTAGACGTAGCTAATTAAAGAACAATTAGCAACAATAGTAAACAACTTAGACACATTAGTAAACCACTTCCGTCTTGCAGCTACATATTTCGATTAATACACATACAGTACATATTTTTCAACGTTTTTTTTCTTAAAATAGCTTAATATACATTTTTTAAAACAACCTAGACACCAGTACTCCGTTATATATAGTTTAAATTAAATATGAGCATGATGTTAGTCTGGTCAAAAATACAAAATAATCAAGTTTTTAAGTATTTATACAAGAAAAAAATATAAGTACTTAAAATTGAGAAACCGGCGATATTCTTTTTTATAATTTTGAACTGGGTATCAGTTGATATTCTCACAATTGAGACGAATATAACAACACCTCAAATGCTAAAATCCATCAAGCCACTTAGGCTACAGAACATGCCAAAGAAATACACATACATACTCGTACACTCGAAAATCATAACCCTCTTAGCGCAATCGGGTATTAAAGTAGGTAGTAAGTTCGCAGTAAAAGTGTAGATTTTTCAACCAATAGTTATCTAAACACAGTCTACATGCGTAGGTGTGCATTTATATTTGTTTATGTATATTGATGTATAGTATTGTTACGAGCTGGGTAAATAAATAATAAAAGTTGTCGGTTAATTGCTTTATTTCACTTTATTTACAAACACTCACTACTAGGAATCACTATATATCTTGTTAGTGGTGGAGGTAAGTTAGTGAAAGACAGCGCCATTGTCTTCCACATTTCATACAATCGAACCATTTAATCCTATGGCGCAACACTGCCCCCTCCTAAAACATGCTCGTCCCGAGCATTATCGGTTCCATAAGATCGCGTCAATCGATCCACATGAATTATCTTTGGGGCGCCTCTTGGACACTTCTGTATCCGGTAGGTGACATCATTGATTTTGGTCACCACTCGGTATGGTCTATCCCATTTGGCTTGCAGCGGGGCGATCTCCCTTCACTTCGAACTGGATTATATAGCCACACTAGCGAACTTTCTTCGAAACCTTTATTATTCCCTTTCCGGTCATAACAAGTGTTCATCTTCACATACATTTGTTGGTTCAATTGTCTGTCATGCTTTTGCTGTGCTTGCTGTAGGTTTTCCTTCCACGTGTTGCTTAGGTCCGTCCTTAGCGTCCTTACAGGCATAACTTCCTTTACCTCTTGCTTATTACAGTGTTTGTAATCTTCAGGACATGGTCGTCTTCATAATGCATCTGCATTACTATGAAATTTGTCACTGCGATGGTGGGCAGTGCTATTATCCACCCTAATCTTCTGAGGCCACTCGTCTTTACCTGCTTTGCTGCGCTTAGGGAAATTGGACCGAAGATGACCCTTTTCACCACAGGCGTAACATCTAGAGCTATACCCTTCAAAACGGTCAAACACAGTTGCCGCCACAATCTTCCGGACCTGATGAGACCGACGGTCTTGTCTCGCAGCTTCCACCTCCAAAGCATGGGCCAAGGCGTCCTTGAGAATTATTATGGTGTCCAAGCCTCATAGCAGCTCTAACTTAAAGGTCACGAATGTCATCGATGAAAACTTGCACCAGATTTTGCCAATGAGCGCAGGTGCAGACTGGTATGCCTTACGGACCAGTTTCTCAACTTCCAGGGCCCATTGTTGTAAGTTTTTACTGATGCGTTGGGCACGATCCTTCAGCTGCGCACGAAACACGTGCTCCAGGTGAGCGTCACCATATCTTGCCTACAATGCTTCTAGCAGTTGCTCATAGGTTACCTTCTTACCGAGAGCTTCAAGGCAAGGCCTGATCTCGGAGACCCGAGGTGAGTGCGGTCATAGCCTGAACCTTATTCCAGGCGTTCACCGTCATAAAAGCCTCAAACTGGATCTTGTTAGCAGACCACGAAGATGTTCCATGAAACGGCGGCACTTTGAACCATTGCACCGAAGGAGCAGCGGTTACCGTAGTCGCCATCCCGTCTCTAACTTTGAGATTCCCTAACGCCTTCTTCAAGTCGGCAATCTGAGTTCCGCGTCAGCGAGACGGTTCTCGTGTTGAGGAACCTGAACCTTCACTACCTAGAGTTCTTTGCCGAAGGTCTCATGAATGATTTTTAACAAAAGCATCTGCTCCTCCTGACGGCGGGTTTGCTCCTCCTTGTCCCGCTGCATCTGATCCTCCAAGCGGCGGGCCTGCTCCTCCTAACGGCGGGCCTGCTCCTGGAGCATCATCATTAGGGCCGTGATATCTGGAGCCGCTGACGATGTTGAAGGAGTGGCTTCCATTGCTGGCTGCTGACTCTCCAATGTAGGCAGTTGTGCACCCCAAAGCGCCTCTGGTCAGCCTCCTGCTGGCACTGGCTTCTCTTAAGGATGTCTTCCGTGTCTTCTTTAGGTAAAACCGGCATACTTTTATCCCACTTCTGATACCAAATTGTTACGAGCTGGGTATATAAATAATAAAAGTTTTCGGTTAATTACTTTATTTCACTTGAATGTTACTAGAAAGTTCTTAATGTTCGACCCCGATGTCCGATCCCGTTCCAAACAAACACGAAAGTTCCAGAATTAGTCACACGTTACTTGCAGCGCCATCTAGCGCTGTAAGGATCAGAAGTAGTCATATTAACCAAAATCTTAATAGATACTAGTATACTTTAGTCCATACTAGATGGCGCTGTCTTCCACATTTTATGCAATAGAACTATTTAATCCTGTGGCGCAACAGTATGTTTTATGTATAACGTACATACCTATGACGAGCTTATAATGTGCTTGATTTTATATTCAGTATGGTTTGCAAGGTTGGTAACTGATAAACAAATTTTTGTTAAAAAAATATTTTAGGTCGCCTGAGGAGAATGCAAAATTTACAAGAATAAAGTTTCCACATTTTGTTTATTAACAAAAAATATAAATTGAGTAAAAAAAATACATTGAGACACATATATTAATATAGTATTTTTACCTAAACTCCTACATTAATTAAAATAATTAAAGGAAAAAAATCTCTTCATGGTCTTCTTCTGTTCTATACGTTTTTAAATTCCTGAGAAAGAACGTATGCATGGCAAAAGTTCACGACGATGCAATTTTTTCTTGTATCCAAGTTAAGAAGGTGGCTACGTTGACGAACACTCCAGGCATCTTAGCAATGCCGCAACCGAGCCCTCTTGTGTACAGGCCCACTATTTGCCACTTTCCGTCCACTTCACAAAGTAAACCCGACCCACCATCTTCCTAAGGTTGAAAACAATTTAGTATTCTTTATATCTATAAATATCTATGTGAGCACAAAGTTGGATGTCCATTAAATAAAGCTCTGTACCAAAGAAAAAAATTACTAAAGCATTACTAGGAATGGGGCGCAGTGGTCTTTTTCTGTGAAGCTGTAATGCTCCAGAAAGAGACCGCTGAACCAGATCGGGAGAGGGCCCAAATCACCTCCTGTAGCAGATTGACTGCTGCAGTGGAGGATAGAATGGCGGCCTGATTGCATTAAGATGCAATTGGGCCGCCACGCCGCGATTGGAGAGAGGGGGGAGGGGTGAAGTTTTTTCCCTGGGATAGGACCTGATTAAGCATGGTGACATTTCGGGGAGGACCTGAAATAATATGGTCGGGGTCCTCCAAGTACCTGTCCTCCCAGTACACCTAAGGCCGGGCCGTCGAGGTGTTTTTTAGTGGAATAACTACATACTCTTGACTCCTGAGTCCCCGAGAAGCAGGAGATGTTTTTGAAGTGTCTGTTTGTAAAGCTAAAATAATAGGTTTTTTCACGCTTAGTTCGTAATTTTCTTTTCAAAAACCATCAATAAATTCTTAGGAGTCTATGTAGGAATGCAGTACTCTCAACGTAAATGACCAATAACATCTATTGGTCATTTTGTTAAAAAAAATATACATGTAAAACTATCATACTGTTGAAGAAATACGTTTATTATTATTATATATAATTATTACTTATTTTTTAAATTCTGTTTATTTTTCTTTATTTCTTTAATAAAGACAACTCCCGCACTAGGTATCATATCATATCCTGTGACGCGGGGACTTTACAAACATACATGAAACGGACCAAAGAACATTTGGTCCGTTTCCTGTATATTTGAATTTGTGGATCACACATACTTTTGTCCCATGCATATTAAGAAGCGTCCCAGCGTATTAAGAAGCGGCGAGGTGACCGCTTAAACCACCAAGCCATCAGTTGAGATGAGCTTACCGTACACGCGTCTTCATCGTCTTCTCCTCGTGCGCATATGAACGATGATGATTGTACATTCAACTCAGAGCCAAGACGAGTTATCCGCAGTAGTGACTGACATGTTTCCGAGTCTACTATAGATACATCTTCCTTCTTGCGAATCTCCTTGAAAAAAGCTTTTGGACCTAACATTTGATAGCCCCTATTTGACACGATACATCTGAAAATAAAATTGAAAGGTTCGATAGAGAATGGGATGCACTGTTACACTTGAAAACCATTCTATTATTACATTGACTAGTCTACTTTTTTTTTACTAGTGATTTTATATATATTTTGAATTTAAATTGTAGTAGATTCATGTTACCACTATGTAATCCTGAGCACTTGTGCTACCCGTGTGAAGACGAGGTAGATTGTTAGTCAAAAGTTGATACTTTCTTAAATAAAATGGATCCATACCTTCTTTCTGTATAAGCAGTAGATGATGATAGAGGTAAACATGCTCTATTAATAGATACTGCGGCCCCCGCACTTGGAGTAAATGGCACTCTTGAAGCCAATCTTAATATCGCAATATCATTCTCCAAAGTACTGGGATTGTACATTGGGTGACTGAACACTTTGAGCACAGTATATTCCTGGTATGACACTGGATCTTTCAGAACCTTTACCCAATCGCCTAACCGGACTATTAAGTTATCAGGCAAATCTGAAATACTAAAAAAACCAAACATCTTTAAGTGAAGTCACCGGATCAGTCATAAAATGTTAAAACTTTTAAATTACTAGTGAAACGTACAGATATGGTGATACTTTATGAGCCACAGTTAACACATTTAAGCTGTCTATTAGTACAATTCCTGTGACAAATTCTGTAGAAGCTAATAGTGCTCCCTGAAAAACAAAATATTACTCGTATTAGCAAAACCATCTCATTATCAATAGTTACAAGCAAAATATCCTTTCACATGAAATATGAAATACCTGCCATGGAATTGCCCCAAAGCTAGCTTGACCTGGTTCTAGTATAACCGGTGAAGGAGAAACTGGTTGTATCACTCCGCAATTAATGTTCGATAAGTCATTCCTTGTAGATGTGCCACCACAATATTCTTGGCCTGTAGTACACGGCACCTAATTACAAACACAGAATTTACGATATTTTAATAATTGTACAATTTATTTGCAGATATATGTTATCTTCCATTACTTACCTGAGGAGTAACGATTCTTACATCTATTCGATTTCGAATACAAGTGCCAGCAGGTACACACGCACCGCTTTGTGCCTTTATAATATTTTGTGTATCGTTTGTCTTTCGGACATTGTTATAGGTAGATGTCATGTTTTTACGGTATGAAATTCTGTTCGGCCTGAGAACTTTTACAGCAGTGTTATACGATGATACTTGTACACTGTCAGCGTTAAAAGATGTCATATTTTTCATTGCATAAGGTGCCAGAGTAGTGCCGAGTCGAGAAACAATCCGAAGTGATCCTGTGGATGACATAAAATAATTGGCTTTCCTGTTGGTCTAGTGGTTAGTGACCCTGACTGCCACGTCTGAGGTCGTGGGTTCGATTCCCACCCAGGACAAATAATTGTGTGATGAGCGCGGTCATTTGTTCTGTGTCTGGCTGTACTTTATCTGTAACATGTACGTATGTATTTGGAAATATAAGTATGTTTATCAGCAGTCTGGTTACCATAGTACAGGCTCTGCCTAGTTTGGGATCAGACCGCCTTGTGTGGAATGTGTGTTAAAATATTATTATTATTATAATTAGAATAAATTTATTATAAACCATACTAAAATTTCACCTAAATTTGTCTATAGTGGGAAAAAGATATTATAATGGATAGACAGATAGAAAACTTATACACCATTTTTACAAAAGCAGTATCATACATCCAAATATCAGATAGGTAATATACAAAGTAGTAGTTGAAAATAAATAAAACGGTAGACAGTATGGTCATGAATAGTATATAGTTCTAATATTGATTAAGCTCGTTATAAGAGGCAAGTCGTCAGCAGAAGGGTTATAGAAGTCGCCTTAATAAATAATTCACTGTAGAAACACAGTCATTGTATAAATAGTAGGTACCTTACCAGTAGTTGCTGGTTGTTCTGTTGTCATTGTAGCCGTGGATGCCGTTGTAGGTATAGTGGCGAGCATAGCAGTTGTCTGATTTCCTGGTAACAGGCCCAGGCATGTTGTTATAACCCACAAGCTCATTAAAAAGTTTAAAGGTTTATATTATTAAACTGTACTCTACCGCGGATGAACCGTAAGTATTTGATGTTATGGTGTGGATAAAACTAACTAATAAATATGTTTGAAACTTTCATTTTCCCTAATTATTTCAGCTATCATGGTGTAAAGAACATTTGTTTGTATGAATTCATTCGCCACATAGTTATTCGTAAAGCGACAAACATTTTGTAATCTTTTGTTGACATTTTGTATAGATTGTATAGACATTGTTACAACCATAATAATAATAGTTAATGTGATAGGACTTCACACTCAAATGTACATGGACCTGTTGGTCTAGTGTTTAGCGAGACTGACTGCTAAGCCGGAAGTCGTGGGTTTGCTTCCCACCTGGGACAAATTTTGTGTGATGAGCACGATCATTTGTTCTATGTCTGGGTGAAATTTATCTAAAATATAAATAAATTTAGAAATATATAACTTTATGAGCAGGCTGGTAACCATAGTACAGGCTCTGCCTAGTTTGGGATCAGAATGCCGTCTGTGAGATGTTTGAAGTTATTTTTATGAAAAACAAAAGTTGTTCTCCCAGATCCAGATATTGGACCATAAAGTCGGTTATATCTACGCTTACATGTTAAAAAATTTGCAATAAGAAACTTTGTCGTATTCGGGTTAACTCTATTGAAACATGTTCAGATTCTCCTTATTGAGCTCACTATTAATAGCATATAAATTTAAAAAATCTTTTACAATTTCGTTCCAGTAAGAGTCGCTGTGCTCTAGGCGTATACTAACACACGATAGAGCCTGGTTAGGCGTGGTGTGAATTCGGGTCCCGGGTTTTAGGAGCCGGAGATCCAAAAGTATCTTCCGCCCCATCAACAAAATAAAGGCGTATACTAATACACACAGGAAAAAACAGAACAAACAAATAAGACACGCACACTCTGCTCTAACAGGACAACGAGACACATCAAGACTAATACGCCTCTACATTTTGACACCATGGCATCAACACCTCAAATTCTATTGTGCCGTTCATAGTCTTCATTGAGCAACCTCTCTCCAACGAAGATAGTTAGTTGTGATCATATTGTATGTAATTCAGGTTGTATGGTGTGGGTGTGATGTAACTACATTGCCATTTGATCATCATCATCATTAATGGTCACTAATAGTCCACTGCTGGACATAAACCTCTCCCTAACACATAAGATTGCTCCCTTAGTCGGCTCTTACGACACCCACGTGATAAATAAGGGTGTGAGACTCTGTATTCTTAATCCGTCACCACAAACATAATTGATATAAAAGTTTCGAATAGGGATATATTTCTTCATTTATGTAAGTAATAAATAGATAGAAATAAAATAACAGATGCAAATAAATTTATTTAGGAATATAATTATTTGAATTTATAAGTAAAAATCTTTTAAAGTATGACTCTTCTTCTAAATCAAACGGGTTAAAAGGTTTTCCATAAAGCTATTACTATACCATCTATTAAATAAAACCAAATCATAACCTATCAAATATTCTAATTCCTATCTAAAAATCTAATACTCATAACTTGAACAGCTTAACTCAGGCCTATACAGAGTTTTTCTCTGCCATTTTGCGCAGATTGACACTACACTACATTTTCGTAGACGCGGTCTCCGCTCGAGAACTCTTTTATCAATGCGGTTATTGGCTCTGCCAAGAATGTGACCAGTTTCTAGTTATATTAACTACGGCGGGTACCTCGATTCTGTGTCAGATAACTTCGTTACTAATTCTGAACACCGGATAAACCAAATTTAGCTTTCTTGGGTGTTGGAATGATGGCCCAGGGTCATCACACACAAATGACCAGCGTCGTCCATGGTCGACGGTGGTCATTTACCATGACGTATGGCAAAAAATAAATCCATAAACTTAGTATACTTACTAGTATGTAAACTAAGTTTATAATTTTAGCCGTTCTATGTGATCATAAACGTAAAGACATACAATATAACTCGCATTGAAACCATCATAAGTTTTAAATGACTAATATATGAAATACGTTTCTAAGTCGGCGTAACGAAAGTGAAAAAAAAACCATTAACACAATACGAGAAATAAAAATTGTATTAATGTACAAATTATTAAATTATAAATTATAAGCAGCTTAGAAATAAGGTAATGAATAAAAGTAGAAAAAATATCTAGAATACAATTATTTCTTTTTTTCTTTCATTAAGAGCGTTAACGTGGCCATCGATCCCCGAGAAGAATTTAAATATGTTTATTATGTATTATAAGTGATCACTGTTCATAGTTCACTGTAAGTAACACAGTATATATAATATTAACGAATATTTATTTATTAGGCCACCACAGGCGAGTACACTGTTACAATGGAATTACAAGCGTATAGATCTTGGGGCAAAGCATCTCGCCACTTACAGCATATACGTATAATACATGTAAATATCTGTAGATAACAAAATATTCATGGCGCGGCGATTTGTTCATTTATCCAGGGCAGGAAGGTGGCAACGTTGACGTATACTCCGGGAACATTTGTGTCTCCACAGCCGAGGCCCCACGCGACTAGGCCCACTAGTACCCATTTTCCGTCCACTTCGCAGACAAGACCAGAACCGCCATCACCCTAAATATACTCGTATTAGTAGACTGAGAATTAACATAATAGAATCAGATTAGAAGGCATGCCAAAAATTTTAACGCTTGTGGGCCCAACATCATCATCATCATCATCAACAGCCTTTAATAGTCCACTGCTGGACATAAGCCTCTCCTTAGAAAGGAGGTTTTGGCCTACTATACCACGCTAGCCAGACGGGTTGGTATAGGGTTTGTGTCAAGTTTTCCTTCTGTCTGCAGTGCTGTTGTTCTGCGTAGTTTTCTCCCTTAGTCTCTTACGACACCCACGGGATGAATAGGGGTGGTGACACTCTGTATTCTTAATCCGTCACCACACGGGCCCAACATAAAACCTTAACTGTAACAAAATAACTTAAGAATACATCTGTAGCCTCAGAGTTGAAAGTCCATGAACGCAAGTATATTGTCTTTGTATCACGAAGGAAATCATCTAATAAAAGAGTCAATGGCTATCCATTCACCTTTTATTAGGTTAAAAAAAAGCCTTCATGCGAGTAACCACGAATAAAAGTTCTATAAAAATAGTAAATACAGCAGCATGGATCCACGCAGTTACTAATCTGTAAACTGGAAACATTAAATAAGAAGTCAGGCAGCATATTTGTGTGAGGCCATCTGTCACCCTAGCTGAAGCAGGCCGGGGTTTTCCGGAGCACAAAGGGAACATGGGGCCATCTACCCGCCGTAGATGGCCCGAGGTACGGGTACCAGAAATTTAGTTTCTAGGGTACACCTGGTTCCCTGGCTACTGGTACGGGTACGAGTACTTAGTAGATAATCTTAAACTGAGATTGATTAAAATAGAATGTGAAATATCTTAACAAAATTTCAGACTATGGCGTCACTTAATGTTATAAACAGTTATAAGGAAGGAAGAAAGAAACTTACAGTACATGCATCTTTATTCTCTTCTCCTCCTGCGCATATAAATGAAGCAGAATCTAAAGTAAAGTTGGGGCCGAGGCGAGTGGTTCGTAGCAGTGACTGGCATGTTTCCGGGTCGATTATAGGCACGTCCACCTTCTTAATTGTAGCCTGAATATAACCTTCTGGACCAAATACTTGAAAGCCCCAGCCTGCTACTAGACACCTAGAAAATAAATCATCACATATCACTTTTTTCAAGTTGACTGAAAACCTCGCGATTAAATAAATGAAAGTTACTAGATTAGAAAAGTTCAAAAGCCAACAGTATATAAAATAATAATAACTTCACACATTAGGTTGAAAATTATTATGTTCCAAAGTTGTCAGAGCCTGTGCTATGGTAATCAGACTGCTGATAAACATGCTTAAATATTTCTAAATACATACATATTTTAGATAAATTACACCAAGACAGAGAACAAATAATCGTGCTCATCACACAATTGTGGGAATTGAACCCACGACCTCAGGCTTAGCAGTCAGTGTTACTAACCACTAAACCAACAGGCCCGTCATAAAGAGTAGAAAGAAGAAAATAATAGAATAGAATAAAGAAGATTTTTTTATGGCATAGGGGAGCAAACAAGCAGACGGGACATCTGATGGTAAGCCTACTGCCGCAAATGGACACGTGCAGTTCTAGAGTCACAAATGCCAATACGTTATCGCTCTTTCAGTCCCTACGGAAAGAGTTTGGGCTTCGGTAACCTTACTTACTCAGTGAAAAGCAAGCAAAGAACTGCTTAGCAGTGCTATTACGTTCTCCCACGCTAAGTGTACAAAATTAAAATTTTAAGTCCATTCTTACTTCTGCTTCTACTATTGTCCACGACATTTCTCCAATGTACCTATATGATTACTAGCTTTAGTCTGCGACTCCGCCCGCGTGTCTGTCTTTTATCGCGTAAATAGTGTGTTATTAGCTGAAAATGTATCTTTCCATTGGTGAAAGAATTAAAAAATCGGTTTACTGTTTAGGCATGAAAGCGTAACAAACAAAAAAACACGTGTACGCGTATGGACAGACACAGATAAGAAAGAATGATAGGTTTATTTATTTATTTAGCTTACGCTGGAAACTAATAATTGTAAGCGGTATTTATTAAAAAAATGGGTAAAATGTTTTATTTACTCATTGTGATATAATTTTAACCCAAAAAAATAGAAAATTATAAAAAAATGAAAACCTGACAGAAAACTCCAATGATTTTCGACTCAGAATAATGGTCTGAGTACACTATTTCAGTATTCGTTACACCGTCCCTTACACCCTGTTTATTGGAAGCATACCAGTAAGATACAATTACTACTTAAGACATAAAATTTTGTCCAGATTAATAGTCAGTTATACTTGTAGATGATTTATACCTTTGTCCTGTATAATCGCTAGTTGTTGATGGTGGTAAACATGCTCGATTGATAGTCACTGCGGACCCTGCAGTAGGAGAGAACGGTACTGCTGAAGCCAATCTTAACACTGCTATGTCATTCTGCAGCGTATTAGGATTATATGAAGGATGGCGGATCACTTTCGATACTAAGTACTCTTGATAAGGTACTGGATCTGGTGTATTACCGTCGTATTCTCCCAAACGTACTGTGTAATTAACAGGTATTTCTGAAAATCTGCCACCATCATCAGTTGAAAAAAATACAAAAACTACAATTATATTGAAATGAAACATCATACCTCAACATAAAATTATACCTACTCTGTTTTATGAGCCACGGTTAATACATTTAATCCATCTATAAGTACACCTCCACCATAATAATTCTCCACTGTTATGACAGCTCCCTGAAATTCAAAACAATTCGAAACATCGTTTTTTAGGGTTAATAAAAGGTAATAAAGGAACCCTTATAAGATCACTTTTTTGTCCGTCTGTCCGTGTGTCACCAACGATTTTCTCAGGAACGGGTAAGCCTAGCAAGTTGAAATTTATACCAGATACTGAAGTCTATAGTCCCTATTAGGTGTATAAAAATCAAGGTCCTGAGTCAACACGATAAAAAGATATGGGCAAATTTCGATTTTCGCGAAAACTTGTAAGTCCCAAAATTTACCTTAATTTTCAACTTTTTTTATTTTTCAGAGTTTTCTCATTATTTGTGCTGTAACTTGACAAAAAGAAACGTATTACAACACAAATAAAGGAAAAAATTCAAAAAAATAAAAAAGTTGAAAATTAAGATAAATTTTGGGACTTACAAATTTTCGCGTCCTATACCAACCCGTCTGGCCAGCGTGGTATAGTAGGCCAAAACCTTCTTTCTAAGGAGAGGCCTATGTCCAGCAGTGGACTATTAAAGGCTGTTGTAGTAGTAGTGTGTAGTAAAATCTGGGTAGGTACGGAACCCTCGGCGCACGAGTTCGACTCGTACATGACCGGTTTTTTCTATTTTAAAAAAAATCGTGACTTTTATCTATTGTGTACCTGCCAAGGGAATTCCCCAAAACTGGCCTGTCCAGGTGCTGTTGTTACAGGTGACGAAGGAACCTCCTGTCTTACACCACAACTTATAATCGATGGTTCAACGTCAGTTGCGTTACCACAGCAGTATTCTTGTCCAGCAGAACACTGCCCCTGAATATAAACAAGTGACTTAGCCCGTGTAAAACATCTCGAAATTTTATATCCACACCTGTTATATTCCGAAAATTGGGTTAAACTTACCGGTGGGGTAACAATTCTGATGTCTATTACATTGCGAATGCAAGTTCCAGCAAGTACACATGCGCAGCTTTGTCTTTTCGTAATATTGTGTATGCCGTCTGTTTTTTTGATAATATTGAATACATCTGGTATAATCTTCATCTTCTTATTGTTTACATTCCTGCGTGATCTAGGAAACTTAACGGCAGAGTCTGACGTTGGCAGAGGTGCACTGTAACCACTAATGGGTGGCAATTTGATCGCTGCTGAAGGCGGTGTAGTCCCGAGCCGGGGGTCGATCGGCAGCGGTCCTGTAGTTGATTCATTAGGATTATATAAACATACAACAGTGGGATTAGCACAAATGACAAGTGGTACTAGATATCCACTTATGTTTGGATTTACTGCCGTTATCACAGGAGATGGGGTAGTAGTAGTAAGAGCCGGAGTTGTTGTCGTCGTCGTAGTTGGTAAAGTCGTCGGTGGAGGTGTCGTTGTCGTTACAGTTGTCGGTGGTTGTGTTGGCAACGTGGTCGGAATCGTCGTAGGAGCAGGGGTTGTCGTAGTTGTAGTAGTTGTTGTAGTACTTGTAGTAGTAGTAGTGGTAGTAGTCGTTGGTGCTGCTGTAGGTACAATAATAGGCGCGGGTGCGGCGGGCACTACCACAGCAGGTGAGGGATTTCCTGGCAGTAACCCCAAACATGCTGTTAAAATCCACAGACACATTAGAAAAAAAAAATGTTTGAATATGATAATGTGCACTGCACCGCAGTCGACCGGTGTTTGGTGTCGTTATTGGTATAAAGCTAATCATTAATATACTGTGAAAATGACGTTTAATCAATGTGGTATTGCCCTAATAATGTTAGCCTTCATGGTGCAATGAACTTTTGTACGTTCATTGATTGCATCAATTTATCGCCATGTGATTATCCATATAGCGAATAATTGGTGTCATCTATTGATGGTTTTCAAATGTCGTAATAAATGTAAAAGCAATAATTTTTATGTTACCTTATTTCAAATGTAGGACTGCTGCACCGCTATTTTGTTTTGCCTATGTAGAAAATGTAATGACTAATTAAAAGCCAACCGATATAACCTCTCGAAACGTATTTTTCATTGAAAAGCATTTTTCGCATTTGGATGTTTAAACCGACCGAGAGTAACCGTTTATCACTCTCTTATAACTATGGGCCGGCGCTATAAATATGTGGATGTTTCAGAAATTATTCTGAGATCCCTGCGTGACATGGGCGGCAGTAGTCACTTATCATAAAAAAACTCTGATTATTACAATTTGATGAAAATTAATAATAATTATATGCCAGTGAGCTGCGAATGAGTAACTTATTTTATGAATTATGTTTGGGCACAGCAAGCTTATCCTTACTTCATAAGTTTACTTTATGAATCACTATTCTTACTAAACTGTTCATTCTTATGGGCATACAGTAATTTCGTCAATGTACACTAATTGTTAGTAGATCGTCATCATGTTATTTTACTTATTTTCCTTAAGCCCGGACAGCCCTTTTCTGCAGCACACGCTACTTCCACAGCATTATGCCATAGGTCATGATTTTGTGAAGGAAGCTGAAGTAAAACAAACACTTTTCTAAACAGCTCGTGACGGAATATATTAAAGAAAAAATATTTTTTGTCTAAATTTTGAGTGAATAGTCTGCTCAAGTATTTTTACTAAATGTAGATAAATCTATTCCCGTAACATGACCGTTACTATTAGTTATAGTTAATTGAACGATGTTCGAATTGAGACGTACGAATTGCATATATATATTATGAATGTCGGTCTATTTATTTTACCTACGATACGGTCTCATAACTATGAGTGCAATATGTTTGTCACAGAATTTCATTGTTATCATTTCAAGGATTTGTATAAAATTACCAAAATTACTTAAAATCTAGATTTTTATGCTTTTAGATTCAGCTAAATGATTACCAGCACCATTGTTTATTATAGTTTAATCGTATTTTGTGTTTTAATTTTTATAAAATTTAATCATTTAACTGGCAAAAATAGTGTATTTAGAATATTTCAATAAGATTTTTAACATTTACACAAAATATACACTCTCTTAAAGTAGATTAATAATTTGATTTATACTGGTAATTACCACGAACCTATAATTATTTAATTAAGATAATTCTTTAAGTGTTAAGTATTTATTTAAATTGAATAGCAATTCTATTTTCAAAGATAGCACAGTTACTGAATAAAAACAATCGTACAATATAATCAGATGTTAATCCTATTATTTTTGAATGTTACATACGTATATTTCTATATACATGCAGTTATTCCATGCAGTTATCAATCTAAATTAACACGTGAGGATAACTCGTTTCACGTTTTTGTTCGGCAATTTTTTTAAATTAAGATACGAATTTTTAAAAAAAATTAAAGTTTATTAAAACAGTGGGATACTTGTTAAAGCACAACCGGGACAGCACGGTTCAAAATCGTTACCTACTTGTTATTTATTATTACTATAATTCAAATTTAGTTTTCTTTAAAAAAATGAAAGAACTATATAAAGAACATTAAAATTCGTAATTTGCTAGGTACACTTTTAAGATTAAATCAGACGACGGATGAGGTGGCACTGGTGGCAGCACGACGCGACGCACTACGTTGGCAAACTCTAAAGCGAAACTATTCCAACTCGTTGAGTGACTACCACTAAGCACCAGGTTTTTCGTTACAAACCTGGAACAATTCCAAGGCTGTAATGTCAAGGGCATCATCATCGGCAAATGGAGGATTGGTCACTCTCTACAGATCTCAGATTATAAATTTCCTACTTAACACCACCCTTTTTTTTAAATGTCAAAATTTCGTAAATTCACGTACATTCCTGCAGCGATATTTGCGGTATCTTTTAGCAAAATGAGGTGATATCTAGACATATGTACATTTAGGTAATTAAAGAGATTAAACTGTATTAGTAATTTGCTGTAAAGTTATCTGAATACCAAAATAGGAAGATGTAGTAGCTGTTACATAATGCTGCTGTAATATTTTTTATTAAACTTCTTTTTTTGAAATTCCTTGTGCAAAAAAAATTGTAGACCGTCATACTGTGTGGGTGGTTATCTGAGATATACAATGACCCTGAATATATCAATTGCATTACCATCAAAGCTAAAGGTTGATACCAAATGTCAGATCAATCTTTCAAAAAGAAAGGGATACAATTTTCAATTATTAAACTTGACCAAAAAAATGGTCGAATTTAACCGCTTAAAAATCAAAAGCCTCTGGTAAGCCTGCTGATCAGAATAATGTCAACGAGCAGTATTTTGCAGAGACCAGAGGAAGAACAGAATAAAACGCACGATGAGAAGGAAAAAATTAAGCATATACTTACATACATTGTATTTATATTATTAAACTATTCATAAGTCATTTATTTACAGGAAATGTAATAACTACATATTAATCAAGCAACTAAAGAAACTATTTATGAAGGCAAATAATTAGGTATATCATATCCGTCATATAAATAATGACGACTGACTGGATAGCCGCCAGTAGTAGTGGACATCTTCATGAGTGCGTTTCTGTTGTTACGTTGTTCAGTCAAGCATATCTGTAAGTGCATCACGAACGACGATTTGATGGACATAAAAACAGCGGTAAGTGCCACTCTTGTATAATGAACTATATTCTTCGTCCCTTCCCTTATTTTACTCCCTTAGGGGTGAAATTTCCATAAACCCTTTCTTAGTGGGCGCTTACCAGATAAAAAACATCAGCTACCAACATTTCAAGCTTGTGGCTACAACGGTTTAGGGTCAGCGTTGATGAATCGGGGAGGGATTTTTAGGTTGACCGGGTGAAAAATCCCTTCGGATCTCCTCGGGGACTCAGGAACTAGGAGTATGTGGTAGTTACACGGCCGGCCTCAGTTGCCCTACTCTGAGATGACCCGGACCATGTTATTTCAGGCCCTCCCCGAATTGACATCATGCTGAATCAGGCCCTATCCCAGGGGAATAACACTTCCCCCCTCAGGTCAGTCAGTGCTAGATATTTTATATGTATAAATAATGGAATGACATGTTCAGTTAAATCTGTACTACTTATAGCTGTCACTAATTCCTCGATATAAACAAAGTTCATGTTCGTTTGGCCGTTTGCAGGTAATAGGAAAGAGTTTCATCCAGAAAAGAGTAATTTTCCCAAGTTGTAGCAATAATATTTAGACGGGTTTTTACGTTATTGCTTATGTTTTGAGTGACGATATATGTAAATAGGTTATCAAAATCTACAATAACGCAAGTTAGGACGCACCTTTAATTTAAAATTACATATTATACTTATATGGATAAAATAATTAAATTCATTAAATACTTGTAAGTCCAAAGATATTCATTTGCAGACAATATTTAGTTTATTACAGTTGATAGTTATAAATGTTTTTTTTTATGGATGAGGGGGCAAACGAGCAGACCGGTGAAATGATAAAGTGTCTGCGGTAAAGGTGAAGACGGTAATGGAAAAATAATTATGTTTTATTTCTTCGAGCAGTACAACTTTAACATATGTTTAAGCTTTTGTATCAGAACAGGTCAAAATATATACTGTAGCCCTTTTTTTCCGTGCGGAAATCCTCTCGGATACCGCCCACCGGACAACCGTTAATGTGGTCATGTCGGACTCGAGCCGTTTACGTTGTTTCCTCATACTCCTCCATTACTAGACCTATCCAGTGCAGTTCAAATATAGTTCAACAAATTTTAAAAATCACAAATTTTAGAAATCACGCGTTCAAATAAAATAAAAAACAACAAAAAACTTAGAACTTAAACCGTATTAAAGATCCAATGTAAAATATGAAACATCCAACGTTGTCTGTATTGTGATTATATCGTATTGTGGCCACAAATTAAATAGGTATTCTGCTAGCCTTAGTAATACTTTACTACAAGAATACCTTTTATAACATTTGTGAGATCGAGAGTAGAGAACTGATTTTTATTAACAGGAATTGACATTCAGACTGCTGATTAACATACCTTACTAAAATAATATTATCGTGCTCATCTCACAATAATTTATTCTGGGTGGGAATCGAACCATCGACCTCCGACTTAGCAGTCAGAGTCAATAACAACTGACCAAAATGCCAGTAAAATAATGGTGAACACCACTATAATGTTACCTAATCTTTTCTTGGTACAGGAAAAAAAAACTCATTGATACAGGAGTTGTCAACAGTCCAGAATAGATACCCAATTTCATATGATAGCCCATGGTAGTAGCCTGATGATGACAAAAAATATGCTCCAGACAAAATAAGTCGTCTAAGTACGACAGTACTCAAAAACTTTTAATCCATTTCATTATTCTAACTGCGACATCTACGATTAGCTCGGTAAGATAGATTTACTTAAAGGTGTAAAACTTGTTTTTTAATGTTTTTATTTGCATTCCTTTAATAGCAGCAATATCGAAAATGATGATACAAACGTTCAGTTGCAACGAGAACTTCACCTACGTCTACATGATTGTATTTGTTTCAGTTGAACTCTACTACTTAATCTATATATTTCAAATAGGGTAGATAACTGTCCGGCACGCCGTTATGGCGGCGGTAAGACCAATTATGGAAGATTGGCTCGAGAGGCAACACGGGACCTTCTCATACCGGCTAACGCAGGCGAAATCACCGGATTTCACCGGGTAAGGATGCTTTGGAAATCACCTGTGGCTGATCCGCAAGGAGCCAACGCCTGAGTGGCACCACTGCGATTGTCGGACTGTGGACACGGCGCACCACACGCTGGCAGAATGCCCGACGTGAGTAGAGCAGAGACGTTGCCTCGTGGCGGCTATCGAAGTCGGAATTATTTCACTCGGTTCCATGATTGCGGCCATGGTACGGAGTAAAAGCGCGTGGAACTCCGCCGTTTAGAACCTCCTGGCCCGCCAGGCCAGGGAGGTCGCTGAACGAACCTGGGCCTCCATAAGCCTCCTGGAGGTGACAGGCGAGGCCTTCTGACACAGTAGCAAAACCATGGCGGGGAGGCCGCGACGCGCACTACGGAACCTGCGCGCTCTTTCAGGGACGGCAAGGGAAAATGGGGTTCCTACACAGATGGGGGTCATGGTTGTAAATGGCTCGAGGCACGTCGGGGTACCAGGAATTTACTTTCTAGGGTACACCTGACCCCGGCTTCTGGTACTCGAGACGGCGTGCGGTTGTCATAACCACCTCCTCAGTGGGTGGCATCCGAAGGAATTTTCGCACAGAAAAAAAGGTGGATGACTGTCAAGTCAAATCATTGTTTTATTAAACGTCAAAACAATAGACGCAGTACATTTTTTTATGAAATACTATAGTGTGACGTCATACCTAGATGTTTTCTAGTCATTTATATTTAACGTTGATTTAAAGATATTAAATCAATAAAAACATTAAATTAATAATGAAGGCAAATTCTGGCTGTATTTTAAGATGTTACATATATTAATGCAGGCGAAATAATTTATGTTCAGCCTATGAATCCACCCTATTATTAGGATCGGCATACGGATGCACAAAGATACATGGATATTAACTGAAATGTAATATTGACGGAATTTCTACAACTGCCACCTTTTGAAAATGTCTTGTACTTCAAAAAAGTGACAGTGATGAATTTCCTTGTTAGCATCAAGGCCTATATAGATGGCGTTAGATGTGTCATTCATAATTGCCGCACTGCGATGGGGGCGCCACTGCCAAATTTGCTCTGCGCAAGCCGGCCATACGTCAATACAAACAAGAACTGTAGTGTTGAGGACGTCACGTATATGTATAGCATAGGATGATAGCGGCGACCAGTAGTGCTCCGCTCAGCCTACACTGCTTGTGTAATTCGAGGCCAAGCGTTTTAATGCAATTCTTACTATAGTTTTGATATTGCCGCGAGTTTTAATAATGCCAGATTCATGTGATTTCCCCACAAGATGTGTGTATACAATTAGTATAGTGCTTTAACTCTGTAAGTTCTATTAAATAACTGTGCCTGTGCCTACGTGAAGATATACATATATATATACAAAGTTTAAATTAGTGTTCGGTCGGCGTTAATGACCAAAATGATTGGATTGTTCCCTATGCTATTTTCTGATTCTCATATGCTTCACAATAATAGACATTTGAGGGCATCTGGAAAATAGCACGGAGTCTTAGTTACAGATAATATACTCGTATATGCCTGTATGCAGCATTTAGAAATATTAATGAATTTTATTAGCCGTCGATTTTTTAGTATGCCTTCATTTAATCAAGATATTAGTATGGATCTGAGTTCTAACGAAAGTGGTGCCTTGAAATCCGACAGCAAGGATGGTAAAATAGACGAGAACCGGTACTTGTCAGGGCCCAAATTCTCTAAAGATGCACCAGTAGGACTTAATGCCGACCAGAGGCTTGCCTTTGCTTTGCGGGACTTTTTAAGTCCATCAAGTGCATCAGTTAGTGATGGAGAACCATCACCCTCGGCGCAAGGCCAAACGTTGCCTTTCATAGATGAGCATATCGACGACGACCACACCACGCAGTCTGACGGTGAGCAACCGCAGTTTCGTGAAACTGAGGATGTTTTAAATAATGCTGCCTGCCGTCTTAGACGATGGCGAGCAGTCTCGCGAAAACTACGGAGGCCCCGCATCATTAATAACCTAAATACAAGTGATGACAAGGAAGGGAATATTAGTAAAATGTATAATGGTGGCCACACGGACTTAGCTGACCGACTCAGGAGCTTGGCAGCCGCAGGAAATATGTCAGCGTCTGCAGGAGAATTATTGTCCCTGGCGCCACCGCCTGCGGCCGCCACTGCGCCACCGTCTCCAGGCTGTCTACTCTCACCCTCGCTTGCCGATCAAAGTTCTACTGAATATTTCGTAAGTGTATGGAATTTATAATATCAATATAATATTTACAAACGTCTCGAAAAATACTACATATTCTTATGAATCTTATCAAAATCATATTTCTACATAGGTACAACAGTGATGCTTCATCGTGCATGATTTATTTACTTAACGACCTTAAGGTACAAGTTAATATAGTATAAGTATTTGCGTAGACTCGTAGCAGCTCGATAATATCTGTCGATAACGAATTAATCATACACAGGTAATCAACAGCAAAAATTTTATTTTCAAGATATATTATCAACGTCAGATGTCAGTACTGGGTGTATCTTACGCAACGCCCTCTTATTTTCTCTCTGTCGCATTCCTACTGTCCATGCCGATCTATGTTTGAAGAAAGAGCAGTGTCTGTGTGTGTGTCTGTATCGTTGAGATTAAGGGCACCAGTTTTGACTGAGCTCTGCCAGGCCTACCCGTACCCTGTCAATCTTAAAAGATTACAAGAAATAAAATTACTGTAAAAAGATCCCAATGGCATTTTAGCAAGAGAAAGAACGAAGAGCGATACTCGATCACGGATTTTATTCTTAGATTTGCTTTCTTTTAATTGAATAGAACAGTCATTAATTACTGAATAGCCAGGGGCGGGCAATTAAATAGCCACTATCGATAATAATAATATGAATCTTGATCCTGATAACCTAGACGCCGCGTGATTCAATGCGGTCCGACTCAGGCACAACTGCTTCCTCACCCCCCTTTTATTAACCGGATGTTTACTCACAGAAATAACACAGAAAGTAAAAGAAGGTAAGGAAAATCTGGTAAACGACAGTAAGATTAAATAATGTATTTCATATTACACAAAAAACTATACATGTTAAGAGCATGTGCCGTAATGCTTTGGGTATTTTATGTTATCAATAGAACTAATCAATTTATACGAGACGTTTTTATGGACATTAAAGGTTAGATTTCCAACAACTACGTTGAGCTAACCTGTTACCATGAAAAAGTCTGTTTCCTCTTTCGTTTGTGGAATGATATTTAAGAAATACCAAAAAATAATACGTTCCCAAAAAACACTAAATAAACTAGCTACGAGACATCCTAAATATTCCATAAACCTAAGAATAAGCTCATTTTAAACTTCCACAACACGGCAGTTTAACTCAATGTAGGGACTCGTGAAAGCAACTGGTTCAGAGCACTTTGTTGTAAATTACTATAAAACACAAAAAAGTCCGTTTAAAATAGAAACAACCTTTACCCATTTGCATAAACGTTTGTGCACGAGGCAAAACTCTCGGAAATAAGTGTGAAAACTCACACACAAGTACCTGCTGATAATATCCGTACTTATATACTAAGTCAAGAAACTTGTGTAAAGATGTTGCTTATGCATTAGGTATATGTTATTCACATCCTCATAACATCAAATCACATCATCATCATCCTTTATAGTACACTGCTGGACATAGACCTTAGAAAGAAGGTTTTGGCCTACTATTCCACGCTGGCCGGCTAGCCTACTATTTCGGGTATAGGCTTTGTGTCAGTTTTCTTTTTTTTTGCAATGCTGTTCTCTCTGTTACGACACCCTTATGAATAGGGGTGGTGACCCTCTGTATTCTTAGTCCGTCACCACGCGGACAAGTATATGTTGTTGGCAGTTTATATTACGCGGTTGCATACACCAAACCACATTGTATGTAGGTTGATGATTATGTTACAAGATGATTATGTGAAATACTATGATTCTGTTGTAAATTGTTATATATAGGAGGAGTTTCATAGCCATTCACTACTATTAACAAACTGCAATCCGAACATGCATCTTACTAATAGAATTATTAAAACAGGCAATAAAGGAAACCCTTTGGGTGAATTCGATGTATGATGCGACTAAGGGAGCAAACTACGCAGGACAACAGCACTGCAGAGAGAAGGAAAACTTGATCCAAACCCTATACCAACTCGTCCGGCCAGCGTGGTATAGTAGGCCAAAACCTCCTTACTAAGGAGAGGCCTATGTCCAGCAGTGGACTAGTAAAGGCTGTTGATGATGATGATGATTAGGGTTTGGCTAAATAGGAATTATTTTGATCTTATGACAACGTGTCTAATTTCATTTCCAATTGCAAAACGGTAATTAAAAACCGTAAACCAATCGTTAATATTATTTCAATACCAACTGACCCAAGCAACTTTGTCTGGGTCTCTCAAAAGGAATACATTTTCCCTGTTTTCTGAAAATATCGCGATTAAATAATTGGGCAGGGGGGTAGAAGTGTGAAAAATGCTATACGAACTATTCTCAAACCTACCAAAAAAAAAAAAACTTTTTTTTTATTAAAATCGGTCGAGCCGTTTCGTAGGAGTACGACTCACGGTGACACGAGATATTTATTTATATATAGAGACTTCGTTCGCGTGGTATTTGAAAAGCGCACCAGGCAACATTTTATAAAAAAAATAAGAAAAAAAACCTAAGTAACTCCTTATAAAGACAGCTACGTGCTAGTAAAATATTATCGAAATCGGTTAAGCGGTTTTGAATATTACCCGGAACAAACAGACAGATAGACAGGTTTTTAGGCATAGGTATATCCTTAATAACCGTGTGAGCATGAAAAAAGCTATTATTTTGATATTACAAACAGACACATCAATTTTATTTATTTGTATAGATGTATAGATTAGGTTTTAGAACTGTAAAAAAAACATTCTTAAACTTAAGAGGATGGACCGGGCGCTATCACAGGTAATAAGGTCGTCGTGACGCCCGGGCGCTATTGAAATTTTGTAAGTTATATAATTACTTCTTATTTAACTTATATATGCATTGGATTCGGAATGTGACGATGGCATACCCTTTGTCTACCAGCTTCGAGGATAATGCTTACGGCGATTAAAAGTAAATTGTGAATATGTTCCTGCTATTTACAACCGGATAGCTGAGCATGTTATGCAAATAAAAGAACTAGATCTTATTGCCTTTGACAATAAGGGGCGTCCCATAATCCGTAACCCATTTCCCCGTTACGCAGATTTGTAATCATTGTTCTGTAAACAACCTAACTTTATTTAAAATATATGCCTATCCTCGGTATAAATAAGTTCTTGCGCTAGCCGTTGTTTGGAATCTCCATATCCTTATCATCACTTTGATAAAAAATTAGAAAGGTTTCATTATATTATAAATAATAATACAGATAAATTGATCGTAAGGACCCCTTTTTTTTTCCGTGCGGAAATTCCCTCGGATACCACCTGTCGGTGGCATGTCGGACTCGAACCGACTAAAACCGCACGCCGTCTCGGGTACTAATAGCCGGGGAACCAGGTATACCCTAGAAAGGAAGTCCCTGGTACCCCGACATACCTCGGGTCATCTACAGACGAGTAGACCCCCCCCCCCCCGTGTGGGAACCCTATGTTGCCTGTGCTCCCTGCGTAAGGACCCCTAGAATGACCTTGTGTGTATGGTTAATGCTCACATCAATTTTTTTTTTTATTTGATCTGTGGCAAATTAGGGCGGGCATGTGTGATAATGTATGAAGCGAAATATTTTTTAGGTATGATAAAAACCTTTTACCCAATAAAGATACAGAAATTATTATGATTAATAAAACTGGTTGTAGCCTTTCGCTTATGAAATTGTTCGTCATAAAAATTTGAATAATTTGTAAGCAATTCAAGTTTCTGACGTCAATAAGACGTTAATTGTCGGTGTTTATATTGCAGCGCGTAGAAAATTTTATGTTTATCTGTTTTGAAATCTATTACGAAAGTGTATATTTGACAAATGCGTGGCAAAGTCATAAAAGTGACATAACGGACGGTGTCTCTTTTTGGATGAGGCTTATCTGCAGGATTTTCAATCGCAATGTTTTAGCTGACATAAGTAGCACGAGTATTTTATATTGTATTTAAAGAGATAAAATATTAGGTCTTTACCTATGAAATTGCCGTTTTGTATGCAATAAGTGAAAGTACTAATTTTTTCAAACTTTTTTATTTATGTTATTCGAAGTAATCACCCATGCAATCGACGCATCTTTGCCAACGCATTGGCAGTTTATTGATGCCCTTCTTGTAAAAATCAGCTGGACGGGAGGCAACAAACTCTTCAAAGGCATTTTGTACTGCCTCTCGGGAATTGAATTTTTTACCCACTAAAAAGTTGACTAAATTTTGGAAAAAGTAATAGTCGGTAGGTGCAAGGCAATTATACCTACGTCGATATTTTGTCAACTATTGTTACTTTTGTACTAATACAATCGTTATAGCTCATTGAAACGTCTGTCGATGGCCAACAACGACGACCGAAATCCAAAAACGTAATTCATTAACAACCGTAACTATGGATTTTCACTTTTTTTCTTTGTTTTGTAATGTCACCCTGAATAACGTATTACTCATCTACACACTCACTATTTTCTTTAAAAGACGGAACTCGAGGAGAGATCGCCGTTCGCACTGACTGGTTGCGGTAATGACTTCACGGTAATACACCAATGAGTAATCGTTAAAATATATGACGTGTTTATAAACCACATATCAAATTATCTCACAGGTGAGATATGTATAGAGTCAAAGGAAAATGTTATGTTTAATGGACACTCCCTTCCTGCTGACTAAAATCGGGCGTGCCGATGTCTTACTCTCGTACAGTACCTACATTCAATATTTAGTTATACTCTTGAGACGTATAGTTAGTATAGTCTGATTCCACGCGGTCACATCATGACCCTCACGTGGCGCCGCCCATCATTGTAGCGTGTTGTATTGATTGGTTTAACCTAAGATAGACTTTAATCTCAAATGTTCGTTTTACGTCACCAGATTTGTTAAACAAAGAAGCCTGTTTTTGTTTGAGATACGAATCAATTTTTAGTAATCAGTACGGTTTCATAAGGAACGAATGAAATAACGAATGCTCATGAAAAGGCTAAATACTTCAGTTACGATTTGCTGATATTCATGTTCTGAAGTTGATTCAATCCAAACTGAAAAACTAAAA